CATTTTCTGGGCCCCTGACGCAAGCAGAAGCCATCAGGAGATAAGTGTTGAGGGGCAGCTGGCCAGGCCTGGCTCTGTCCCAGCTCCCGGGACAGCAGCCCCGGCCCCCGAGGTCCCACGTCCCACTCGCCTGCTCAGAGCAGGTCTTTGTGCCCCAGCCTCACAGGTGCGGGGGTGGGACGGAGTTCTTGGCATGGAGCAGCCCTCTGACCACATGGGACAGTGCTGGCCAAGGTCTCTGCCGTGCATAAATGGGGCACTGGAGCCACAGCAGCAGAGCTCCACTTTACAGCAGACAAGTCCTCCACCACTTCTCCCAGGCTCCACGCAGCTCACAGCCCACCAAGACACAACGGCCCAGCAACCTGGATCCAGGTAAACTCAGCCAGCCTCTGGGGGACACAGCCCAGGCTTGGCTGGCCCTCCTTACCCCTGCAGGATAGCAGCACCCCTGCCCCTGGCTTTGGTCTGAAGCTCCTCCTAGCTGGCCTTGCAGGGGACCCTCCATGGATGCTGTAGAGTTGCTTGCTGTTCCTTTTTCCTATGCATATACTTCTTTGTGAATCTGGCCTAAAGAGGTATAGAGCATGGGAAAATGGGGCGGCGAGGTCCTCCCCAACCAGCCCCAGTACCACGGCTCCTGCATCCTGACCGGACACTTCCTGCTTCCTTCCCGCCCACCACACCCAGGCCGAGGGCTTTGCTGCCGTCTTCCTGGGCATTGTAAGACAAGGAGAGGGGTGCAACCCCATTTGCATGTGCTCTGAACCGTCTGGGAGGACACAGTTCAGGCACTGCCCGGCTGATCTTAGTGAGGAACTGGGGGGGCGCTGGGGAGAAGGGCTGTGCTGGGCAGGCTCTGTGGTGGATTTGATAGGCCAAGGCCTTACAGAAAGCTCAGGAACAGGTCCTCACATAGCCCCATCTGGGCCTGGCCCGGACTCTGGGGACTGCCCTCCTTGAAGGACCTGAGGGTGGTGGCGACACTTAGGAAGTGATCTCTGAGATTTTCTTCACAGGTGCAAAACCATACTACGTGATCAAGCTTTTGCACTAGTGGGTGGCCTTGGTCTGATGTTGGAGGAGGCAGAAGTCTCATCTGAGGGGTCAGTGGGTGCCAGGTCCAGGAGACATTGCTTCCTGACACCTTGACTATGCTTTCGAAATTTTGGGCATGCGTTGATTTTCTGATCAGAAGCATCAGTAAAGCTGTGGCCAGGGTACAGCTCAGTGGTACTAAGCCTGCCGAGGACAGGTGAGGCCCTGGGTTCGAGCTGTGTATCACAAAACAGAAAGTGACACTAATTTAAACTCACATGTGGTAAAGCCAACAAAATAAAACCTTCAGACAAAGCTATTCTGTTGTGCTGTACTTTCTTTCTGCACTGCTGGCCTGGTGTCCCATTGGTCTCTGAGGACTTGATTAAAATACACAAACGTGAGGGAAATGATGACTCCCAGATGCCTTGTGGCCAGCAGAAGTCTGTGCCCACCTCTCCCAGGGCCAGGGAGGCCCAGGTGTGGGAGGCTGGGTGGGAAGCGCTCCCTAGCTGGTTTCTTAATTGCCTGGCAAAGAAAAGTGGTTGTGGGGGGGGCTCATGAATTAGGAATGTGAACAGCTACTGACTGGTGGCTGCTGGGTTTAAAAGGCCCCGTCCAGTCCTCTTCCCCTTCCCAAGCCAGCACTAGTCCCTCCCAGTCCTTGCCAGTCTTGGAGGTTGTGGAGTTTTATTTTGACAGCAGGCCCAGCAAACAGCAGTTAACTAAGGCTAATGGGCACCCCTCCACCAGCTGCTGGCTGCTCCAGGCTGGGCCTCACCTCTTCCTTAATTCCCTAATCTCATTTGATCATCACTGGCTAGCACACCTCCATGAATGGCCACTGCACTGGCGAGAGGAGGGGAAAAGTTAGGGACAGACCCAGGGGCTACGTAGTGATAGGGTGCTGAATGGGTACAGCCGGGCACTGATCCCACAGACCTCCTAACTGACCAAGAAAGGGGGCTGGGCGGGCGAGCCCCAGGCCCCTCCAGGCTTTTCAGCTTCTCCCCACAGGACACTTGCAAATGCAGTGACCCCCAAGACTCCCTGTGGAGACCAGACACCCTGATGCCGACCCCCGGGAAAGTGTTTTTCCCTGCACATACACACTTATGATTAACAATAATTAATAGGCAGAGCAATGAGATCAATACACTGGAATGAAAGTTACGTGCATGGTGTCTTGCTCTTGAAAGTCAAGGCAAGGAATACGCTGACCCCAGTCGCTGGGTGGCGAGTAGCTGAGCAAAGTGGAGCTGTGGCTCCTTTTTTAAACCACACACTGCAGATGACCCTCCACTGTGCTACTGTGCAGACAGTGTCCCTGTGCAGGGCAGAATGCTGGGCTGCATGCCTGGCTGGACACAAGGAGCTGCGACTATCTTGTTTTCCACTCTTTTTCTTTTGGTGGTCTGGGGTTTGAACTCAGGGCCTTATACTTGTAGGCAGGCGCTCTACCACTTGAGCCACCCCCAGCCCTTGCTCTCTACTCTTATCCTGCCTGGCTTTGGTCCCCAGAGCTACAATGTGACCAGCAGTAGTTGTCCTGCACAACTCCTGGGCTGTGAAGGAGAGAACCCTCCAGTGTCACCTCACTTCTCCAGAAAAGCTGAGCATGGGGGGGCCATGCTCTGTCCAGTGCTCTTATCTGTCCTGCAGGGTGGGCAGGTCCCTGTGTCCCAAAGGTGAGTCCCGGTGTAGACAGGCATTCTAGGCTCTCAAGCCACTGTAAGACCCAGCTGAAGGGCATCCAGAAGCACAACACCAACACCTGGGAAATGCAGACACTGTCCTGCAGGCCATCAATCCAGGGGCGACCCCTGCCCGTGAGCTCACTGTGCCTTCTTGAGGAGGAAGTGTCTATTTTAAAACCTGCTTCTCTAGGATGGTCTCACTGGCCTGAGAGCACGAAGTTGAGGTGTCCCTTGGTTCTTCCGGAGTGCTCGCTGCCCTGGGCAGAGGAGGGGACTTCCTGAGGTGGGGCGGAGATGACGCACAACAGACACACACAGCATACACTTCACATAGCACCCTCAAACCCACAAATGACACACAGCTCTGTTCCTCACACAATATACATAACTTGTGAACAGGTCACAAATGATGCCCCACACTGAGAGTCACATGGACACGAACCATAGCACATTCATCACTGGAGACCTCTGTGGACTTCACACACCCTAGGGTACTCAGGCACAGGAAGAACACAGTTGGGGGTTTTGACACTTCTGATCTGGACCCAGAAGGCCTTGGAGTCACTTCCTGCTCAGAAGCCCCCATCCTCCTTGGCCTCTGCTGCCCCCTCCTGGCAGAATCACGCCAAGCCATCCTCAGTCCTACTGTAGCCGCCCTGCTTGGTCTTGCAGACATTGCAAGACCAGCAGCCCAAAGATGGCCACACCGGCAGCAGTGGCCCACAGCTGGCTAGTACCGGGTGGGGAGAATGAGGAAGGGAGCTGTCAGGACTATCCCTGCTGATGGGGACACAAAGCTCTGGGCCACCAACACTGAGTGCTCAGAAGAGACACAGCAAGGGACACAGAAGAGACATGAGGCAGATGGGAAAACGGGCTACAGCCAGGCCAGAGGTCTGCAAGGATCACTGCATCCCAGCAATGCTGGGAGTGTGAAAAGGGGCCTGGCTCTTTTCCCACTGGGCAGACAATGACAGTGGCACTGTGACTTTTTTGGAGTACTGAGTGTTCTTGTGCAGACACAAGCACACTGGGTGAGGCTGGGCATCCCCAGCTGACATAATCCTTGGGCTCACATCTCCCCAGGAATTCAGGAAGCTGTGCTGAATGCTTAGAGCCTGGTGGGCCCTTCAGGACTTGGCAGAGTGCTTCCTGTGCCCCTCCCACCCCAGTCCTCACCTCAGAAGGGGGGCCAGAAAGGCCGGGGTACAGCTCCAAGCTGTTGGCTCACAGATCCAGCCCAACCCCAGGGAGGCCAGCTTGTGGGGTCCAGCACAGCTGGCCTGAGCAGGCTGGACCTTGATGTGCAGCCAGGAGTCCTCACTCACCCACGAGGGAGGGATGTAGGGACAAACCAGCATGAGAGCGTCAAGGACTGCTCAGCCTCAGGACAGAGCCCTTGGTGGCCCAGTGTGCGGGCAGTGATGTACCGTGGGCAACCCCTGCTGACCTGCAGTCAAACACCATGGGCCCCATTCAGACGCTAGTCAAGCGCCAGCATGTGCTTCGTGTTCAGATTTTACGTAAAAGACACCTCCAACAACACAGAAAGAACCAGAGACCACAGAGGTGCTAGTGCCAGAGCTCTGTCCTCAGCCTTCTGCTCCCTCAGGGGACCTTAGACCAGAACCACCCTTCTCTTCTTGCTGGACACACACTCACAAAGGGCCAGCAACTGCAGCCTCAGGTCTGGTCCCCAGCTTGTCTGTCACTTGTCACTGGAAGAGCCTAAGCAGGCAGTGTGCGTATAATGGTCACTGAAGCATTCAGTAGCCAGGAGGGCCTCTGCTGTGCTCTGCAGGCCTTCAGGGACTCAGGTGCTAGAGTAAATGGATGGTAACTTCCTCTCCTTCCACATTCTTTTTCACACACAAAGATTATAACCTTTACTTTTTCCAGTTAGAAAACCAGTTTTTCCAATACCTTTTATTGAATAAATTATCCTTTCACCTCATGCTAAAAGTCCTACACATAGGAAGCCCACACCTGCCTTTTGACTCTGTCCACTGACCCTCAGTTACTCCTTAAGCTGACCCTCTCAGTGATTTTCAATGAAGGAGTGGCTTCAACTCTTCTTCAGTTCTAAATTCTCCGGGATTCTAGGTGGGTCAGGGTTCCCATCCCACCCGTGACTAGGATGCTGCACAGCACCAGTCACAGGACGGGGTCACCATATCGTGCAGGTAAAAAGCAAATGTCCTCCAAGCAGGTGCCAGGCATGATCTGCACACACCACCTGTGGGGGCCACAGAGCCACAAGCTTCTTCAAAAGGCACCCTTGATCTTTGGCAGAGCACACAGGCCCCAGGGTTCCCCAGACAAGGCTGGTCCCAGTGTGTGCACCTGGCTGCCAGGGTCTGGGAATTGGTATGTCAAAGGTTGTCCTTGGCCTGAAGCCCATGCAGAGGCCAGAGGGGTTTGTTCCACTTGGCAGAGACCCCAGAAGGAGCCAGAGGGGAGCATCAGAGCCTGGGGCCCCGGCAGTGGTGCCCAAGGGAATGGTAGTTGCCGACTACTGCCTGGGGGAGATGAGAAGGGAGTGTGCAGGGATGTGCAGAGAGGCCCAGAGAAGGGGACATTCAGCTGGGAGTCCTGCATTTGGCGTTTGTGTTTCATTCGGCGATTCTGAAACCATGTTTTTATCTGCAGAAATAAACAAAGCTCAGAGGAGGGCTGCGAACATACCCCCAGCCAAGGCTGATAGCTGCCAGCCCACCCACCTTACCTGCACCTCAGACAGCTGCATCTCCCGGGCCAGCTTCCTCCGCTCCAGGGGGCCCAGGTATTGGTGCTGCTGGAAGGAGCTCTCCAAGGCGCTGACCTGCTCTGTGGTGAAGGCTGTGCGGACGCGGGGCGTGCGTGTAGTGTCCGGCTCCTTGTTCAGCCCTGGGGAGGAAGGAAGGAGTCCACAGCTGCACGTGCTGCATGGGGCACGCGCTCTTGCACAGATGGGGCCAGAGACAGAGCTCCAGCTGGAAGATTACATCACCTTCCCACCCCACTAAATAATCAGCAGCCCACCCCCATCAGGCGTCCTGCAATTTTGGCAAATGGTCAGCCAGGGTGACAGCTCCTGGGCTCCCAGTTCAAGTGTGTGCTGAGGTCCAAGAGCCATGGCTAGGGGTGGGGGTGGGTGACCCAAATAATGTATACGCATGGAAGTACATGTAAAAATAAAATTAACCAAACAAACAAAAAAGCCATGGCTCCGGCGAGAAAGGCATTTAACAGCACAGGTGCAGCAGCCCCTTATCCCAAGTTCTGTTTCTGGAGGTCTCAGTTACCCTTGAGCCAGAGGGAGAGCACACAACCACTATGATACATCGTTGCATTATGTCACTGTTTGTCAGTACTGCTGTCCATCTCCTACTGTCTCTGACTTACAAATCAAATCCCACCCCAGCCCGTCCGCATAGGAAGAGCACAGAGTACAGGACTTGGGATCACCTGCAGCCTTGGCGCCCACTGGGGGTGTGTGGCAGGATGTGACTCCTGCTGATAAGGAGAGGACAACACCCACTTGCTCATTACTTGGGTAAATTAATGCAAGTGTTGAAAACAAAACTCTTAGACCTTAAGACAAGTTGTCAAGGAATTGACACAACCCCAGGACACACTACGAAGTGAATCCAAGAGGTGTGCTGAGAAAACTCAGAGGCACTTTGTTGGGACTGGGGGCTTTACGCTCCCTCCATCACACCGTCCCAGCAGCAATGCAGATTTACTCTGCAGGGTTGCTGGGATGTGTGGCCCAGGGTCTGTACTGCTGCCAGGTGAGGCCAGTTCACTGCTTCGCATACCTCAGTTTACCCTCCAGGAAACCAAATGCTGTGTAATATGATATTGAGGTTATGATGTGATTTTGATACAGAGTCTCACTCACTCACTCTGTGGGCCAGGCTGGCCTAGAACTCTGGATCCTCCTGCCTTAGCCTCCCAAGTGCCAGCTCCAGCTCCTAAATCGTTTTCCTGCCATCATTTCTGATATTCCCTCAGGGATCACTGCAACGACTGCACCTGTGCGTCGTGTTCAGCAGGTCCACACAGACGCTAGGGTCCATGTGTGCGTACCTGTGCACATGCATCAGAGAAGTACTACCAAGAATGCTGGGAGGAACCCTAGCCTCCCCACAAACGCTCAGTCCTCAGACAGCAGCCAGCACAGAGGCTGACTACGGGCCCAAATACAGGCCTTTGGAGGAGTGGTGCTCCCCTAAAAGTCTTATCTTGAAGCCCTAACCACCACCATGGCTGTTATCTGAAGACAGGGCCTTCGAGGAGGTAGTTAAGGTCTAAGGAGGTCCTCGGCGTGGGGCTGGAACCCATCTGACCAGGGTCCTTGCAAGAGGGAGACACGAGGCTCTGCCAGCCAGCCAAGGCTAGGCCTCAGGAGAACTAGTCCTGTGTACTTTGGTTTGAATGGCCAGCCTTCACGACACCGAGAAATAACTTTCTGTGGCTTAAGTCACCAAGCCTGTTTTCTTTTTTTTGGTGGGACTGGGGTTCGAACTCAGGGCACCTGAGCCACACCTCCAATCTACTTTGCTTTGGTTATTTTTGGAGATGAGGGTCTGGAGAACAATTAAACTCGACCCTCTGGATCTCAGCCTCCAAAGTAGATAGGATTATAGATGTGTCATCAGTACCTTGGCTCAGTTTATAGAGAGGAGAGGATGGGGAAGGGTAGGGAGGGGAGGAGCAGGAGAAGGGGAAGGGGAAGGGAGAAGAAAAAGGAAAAACTTCTATTAAAAAAAAAGAAAAGAACCCTGAAAGGCTGGGAGGCTGGGTGCTGGCAGCACACACCTGTAATCCTAACTACTTGGGAGGCTGACATGCCTGTTCAAGTTCAAAAAAGCTCTAACTGTAGGGGGAGGGGAAAAAAGAAAATTAAAAAAAATATGTGTACGTGCACATGTGTACTAAAAAACAGAACCACAGGTGAGCCCTGGTGGCTCACACCTGTAATTCTACCTACCGGGAGGCAGAGATCATGAGGATGGAGGCTGGAAGTTAGTCAAGGCAAATAGTTCAAGAGACCCTATCTCAAAAAAATACCCAGTACAAAAAAGGGCTGGTGGAGTGGCTCAAGTAGAGTGCCTGCCTAGCAAGTGTGTAAGATCCTGAGTTCAAACACCAGTACTGCCCCTAAACAAACAAGAAACCACCACCAAAACCCAGAACCATTACAGAAGACTGCCAGCTGCAGCATGTACTTCCCCTGCGGGAAGGGTGGGCGAAGCCAGCCCTTTCTGTAGGGTGTCCAGAGAGGCAGCCCTAGGCTTTAAGTCACTCCTGGTGATGTCTTTGGAGTCTCAACTTTCTAATTTCTAAGTGAGAGACAGGGGTGGGGGTGGCTGAGGAGTGGGGCACTCAGTAACCTCCACAGGTGGTCTGTGGGAACCCCAGGAAGGAGGCCCTGCCGGCTTAGCCAATATTTCACCAAGTCTGACCAAAATGGCAGTAGTTTTATTGGAAGGAAGCCAATTTTGTAGAATTAGTTTTAATGTGCACCTGAAAGCATGGAGCACAGAAGCAAGCTGATGATTTTGGAAGAGATGAGGGTGAAGGAATGAGTTTTTATCCAGGGATGGCTGCTGGCTTGAGGGGGATGGGGAAGAGCTGGTGGTTGGAGAGAATACATTTAAATTTTCCTCTCACTAAAATATAAGTTATCCCATAAATACTGCACAAACTAGTATATAAGTAATTTATTTGCAGGGCTGGGGATCAAGCACCAGATGTAATCGCTAGGCAAACATGTTCCACCACTGTTCCAGGTCCTTTTCTTAAAAGAAAATTTACAGGTAATATCAACTCCACACTGACTAAGTAGAATTTAAACCTAGAAGCACTGACGAAGTCACAAAGGCTAAAGGACAAGGGATGGGGGTGTAGCTCAGTGGTAGAGCGCCAACTCAGCATTCCTGGCCCTAGGTTGACTCCACAGAACCTCAAAAAATAGAACCACAACCGGACTCCAGGTGGACCATGCAGAGACTTGAGCTGACGTTCAATCAGGGTCTCGGCTTGGCTGGGAGGGGCCAGAAGGCCCCGGTAACTGGTCACTTGAAAACACATGCACAAAGAAGCTCCTGGCAGTCATGTTTAACATGCCTCCAACTCTGGCCGGCTGGGGAGACACAGATGAGGCCAAGGCCTGTGGAGGCCTTGGAGGATTTTTCCAGAGGAGGGAAAATCCCCAGGTCTTTTGCTTCTGAGGGGAGGCATTCACTTCAAGGGGGTTAGGCAAGGCCCCCAACCCCTATCTAGGAGACAGGGAGTCTTCCTGGTTCCTGGACCCCCCCTAACATCCAACCCTGCCTGGGAAGGGCTGGGCTCCCCCAACCCCCCTCTCCAGACTTACCAGCCACAGGTGTCTGTCCCACAACCAGCTCTGAAAGCTTGTCCTTCTGGATGTCCATCTGAGAGGGATTCTTGTTGCTAGACCCCTGGCGTGGGCCTGAGCAGCTGCTCTGGGAAAGCCAGTCCACTGAGCAAAAGCTGGAAGGTCTGTGGCCACCAGGTAGGGCAGAGGGAGGCATGGTGAACGGTAGGTCACTAGGAATAGTTCAGCAACGCAGCCAAATGCAGGACAGCCTCAGGTTTAGCAGGGGTCGCATTTATAAGCTCAGGGGGAGGGGATGGGATGGGGGCTCCAAATCCCACAGATAAGTAGCACCTAATTGCCTTCAAATCCTAGCACAAAGGAGGCGACTCACACCTCCCCGGCTCCGAGATGTCTGGGGGGAGGGGCGGGGCCGCCGTCGCCGCCTAATTGAGATGCGAAGGCTGGGGGAATGATCGAGTTCTTCCCTCTCCGCCATCCGGCTGCAAGGCAGGAATGTCCCCTCACCCCTGGGTCTGTCCCGAGGGGCGCTGGGCGGTCTCCTCTCCCGTGGTTGATTCAGGAGCTTGGTCTGCAGCGACCTGGGTGCTGGTGCCAGCTTGGAGATGACAGGTGTGCACATCTGAGGGAATTCAGGTTGATGGGATGAGGCCGACCAGGCAGTCCCCGAAGGGACTGGGGTTGGGGGTATCCAGGATGGCCCTCCCTCCGACTTCCGTAGGTCCCCCTCTCTGCACTCGGTCGCCTCCAGGCCCCACCGGCTTCTCAGTGCACTGTTGCAGGAGCCACTTCTAAATTCGACCGCAGTTCGCCCAGCCCCGCAAGGAAGGCTTTAGCCACGCTCTCAAGCGGGAGGGACCGAGCGCCACCACCCTCTGCGCGTCCCTGCTGCACCCCGGAGACGCCACGGGGCGCGCACTCCAGCCGGCCATGCAGACCCCACGGGCAATTCAAGGTTGGTGTCTATGCCTGCGTCCCGGGCTCCCTCGGGTCCCGCGTGCTCAGGGGCCGCGCACAGGCAGCCGGGTGGGCCACCGAGCCGGAGCGCGGCGTGGCGGAAACCGCCGGCAGGGCTCGCCCTGCGCCCCAGGCGGCCGGAGTCAGGTGCAGGTTCACTCGCGCCTTCAGGCAGACGGAGTCCAGCCTGCAGCCCTGACTCCGGGGGGCGCCGGCGCCAGCTCGGGCCAGGTCTCCCCGCGCCGCCTCCGTGCTGACCGCGCCCCGCGCAGATCAAAGGCCCCCGGGGCTCCGGCCAGGATTATCGCCCCGCCCCGCCCCGCCTCGCCCTCAGCCTGGGAAGGGCTGTGGGAGTCCAAGAACCCGCTGGCGACAGATCCTGGGTTCTGGGTGCAGGGACCGCACCGCCGCCGCTAGGCCTTCCCAGGACCCTGCAGGGTGAAACTGGCGGGCGCTGTGGGTGTTTGGACATGGCCTCTGGAAGGCCGGCTGGGCCCCATCTTCTCGGACACCCGGCCACATCACGGTGCCGGTGGTCTCGCTTCCTCAGATAGCGGGATTTGAATCGCTGCTGCAAGACTCTGGAGGGCTGAAGATTGTCCTGGGGGAGGCTGGGAGTGTCCCTTACCGCCTGGCCCCAGAGCTAACTCCTAGGATGCTCCGTGGGGGAGGGGGTCCAACCCACCGCGACACTTGAGGGCCGTCCTGCTATCTGGAAAGAGGCCTTGAGGGTGGGGCTGCTCCCGGGCGGTGCCTTCGCGGGGCAAAGTAAGCACTTCTTCCTCACCGCTTAGTTCCTAAGTGAACTGGGCATTTGTGGAAATTAGTGCGCTTTGTGCTCCAGAACTTTTAGTTTATAAATATAAGTCGCTAACACTTGAAACATAGTTGCGGCGCTTCTTTCACTTCTAACCGTTTGGGTGCCCCGGGCCTCTCCGTGGCTCCCCTTTCCTCTGCGGGGGACTCCCGCTTTCACCTGGGACCGCGCGAGTCCGAAGGTGACCTATCTCCACCAGCAGGATCACACAGCGGCTCCTCAAGAGCCTCGCCAGCCCCCTAGCTGCTTCCAGGTTGGCGGTTTCCTCGCTCTGGGCCAGTCATTCCCGTTAGCCCGCTCTTCCCGCTTCTACCATGGGGCGCCTTTCTGCACCCACTGCTGCTAAAAGGTCGCGGTTGTGTCGACCTTAGCTTTTTTTTTTGCTCGGCAGCCCAGCAAACTTCCCTGCAGGAGCTTTGCAGCCCCTCGGCTTCCTTCCTTCCAGCCCCGAAGTCAGGCGCCGGTCTCCAGGCCCACCCGGCAGCTTAGCCCTCCCGGGATCGACCACCTGCTCCCGCGCTGGGCGCTCCCTACGTCCCCAAGCCCTCTCGGAGGCCCTGACAACTCCTCCCTCCACAAGGGTCCAAACCAAACTTCTGCGAAAGAGTCCAGGCCCAGATCTTGAGCTTGCATGTCTCAGGTCGGCCGTTTGTCGCCAGCAAAGCCACCACCGACCCAAGCCATTGCGCTCCCCTGAGACAGGCCTTCACACACCCACTGAAAAAAAAACCCCGCTAGGTCCCTTCTAGCTCCGGCCCCACGTGCTCAGGAAAAACGAAAGCTACAGGCACGTGACCCAGCCAGCTCGCTCCGAGCTTGGCTCCGCCCCCTTCCGCCCCCGCCCTCTACACATTCCAGGCTGCTTGGCCCTCCTTGATCCCTCCCTACTGGCCCCGTGCGCCCTCCGCCCTCCACCTGCTGTCTCCACGCCCTCCAGGGCCCCATCTTCTCTACTTCCTCTGCCCCTCCCTTCCCTCCCCCAGGGCTCCTGCTTCATCTGAGCCCAAGGTGCCTGTGGAGAGGGGAAGGTGTGAATGTGCAGCGCGTGGGCGTCACCCCGCCCAGCTGGGTCAATCTGGGTGGAGCCCTCCGGGAATAGAGGAATCGGATTCCCTGCGGGTTTATCTGGGGAGGGGTTGCCTTCTCTATGCCTGGGTCCCTGTTTTCAGGTCAGAGAGCCTCCCGGAAGGTTCAGGAAAGACTGCCTAAGCCTTGCCCACCGACCAGCAAGGAAGGGAGGGTGTGAGCTTGGTCCAGGATTTTCACAGGCAGCTAAATCTGAAAGGGCCTCCCACCTACGTGGGGTCTTGGAAGTAGTGGAAAGCGAGGGGAGGCAGGGCCCAAGCCGGTGAAGAACTCTTGGATGTGTGGGAAGGGCAGACTGCAGTGGTGGGCAGTGAGCAGGCAGCCAGCAAGCCCACGTGCTCCATTGATTAGCGATAAAAGCCCTAAGTGGTGACAGAGTTGTCAGGCCTGAGATCCCTGCTATGGATATACTATTTTGGTCCCACAGTCTCCCCCAGGGTACAGGTATGTTGGGCGGTGCTTGGGAGGCTGCGGCTAGGTGTACCTATCCTGGCTGGCCCCTAAAGGCGTCCCTCTTTAGGTTCATGCTGCAGCACCAGGGCCCAGAGGTGTGGGTGCCTTCCCCTCCAGGCACCTTGCCTCCTTCCCTTGTTTTAAGCAGCAGAGTGGTGTGCGCCTGTGACCTCCAGAATGGCATTCCCATGTCTCTCCAACAGTGATGGTGGGAGGCAGAGATGCACCATCCTACAGTCCAGTGGTCTGTTACCATCCACAGGGAGACATGGGTTCACAGTCTGGCAGTTAGGGTCCTAGGGCTTTGTAGACATTCCCCAAAGCCACGTGGGTGACTGGAGTGGGGTGGTTGGGCTGGGCTGATTCTGCCATTATCAAGGCCTTGGAGGCACAGGTGACTGGGAAAGGAGCCCTGATCAGTTGTCTACTCTGTGCCAGGCCCGGGCTGGAGCCCTAAATAGGACTCCACCTTCAGTGAAGGGAATGGGGCTTTGCAGTGGAATTAATTTAAATCTAAGGCACACAGGACGCAGACATGAACGGAACTAAATGTCCAACGTGGAGCTCTGAGCCATAGGTAGTGCTTGAATTAAATGAAATTGATTTGAAGTATCCGGTTCCACCTCACACTGCGTTTGGAGGGCTGGGTAAGAACATGTAGCTTCTGACTGTCATCCTGACCTGTGGGGTTCCAAAACATGCTGCACAGTGATCTTGAGAAACTCAGGAAGCCAGAGATACCTGAGAAGACAGAGAAACACACAAAATGGGGACTGGTAAAAAAGATGATGACTGTGCACGGGGTGCAAGTGGCTCACGTCTGTAATCCTAGCTACTCAGGAGGCAGAGATCAGGAGGTTGGAGGTTTGAGGCCAGCCTGGGCAAATAGTTTGCAAGACCCTATCTCGAAAAATCCATCACAAAAGAGGGCTGACAAGCATGGAGTCCTGAATTCAAACTCCACCACCAAATAAAAAAAAAACCACACCAAAAAAAAAAAAACCCCAAAACAAAAAAACTTAAGATATGGACAAGGGACCATATTTGGGACACTGGTGACAAAGATGATGGGGTCAGCAGAAACCAGCCACTATGACAAAGGAGATTTGTGTCTAGAAGGGATGCTAATTGCAACCCAAGGAGCGTGTCCCCGTGTGGAATCACACTCAGGGCCAAGGGATGAAGTGCTGTCAGGACAGATGGAACTGTGTGGCCAGGTGCAGGAAATACCAGTGGGGAACGAGGGGCTGGGATCTCATCAGACACTCACCAGGACTCTCTTTAAAGGCAATGCCTGCAGGGGAAGCTGTGCAGGTAATGGTGAACATAAATGATATGAAAGATCCTGGAAACACAGGGGCATCAGACTGAAAACAGGCAGCCCCTTTGTGGACATCCTCATCAGCAATGTTGGAGTGAAACCTGCAGGAAATGGAGCCTCGGTGACTCCTGTCATAGAAAGGATGAACACGGGTTTCCCCAAACCTTAGAGATGTGTTCTTTGCAGAGATTGCATCAAGATCAATGCCTGGATCAAATTCCAGTGTCTTGGTTTGGAACATACTCAGATTTCAGAGGCTGCCTTGGAGAGCAAACAGCTCCCAGAGCCTGGAGGGCTGTCTAGGGATTTCAGGCTTCACAGCATCAAAAAATTCACAGGTAGGACACTGTTTAGATGATGTAATTAGAGGAACAAGTACAGAGCAGGTATGACTTGGACAGATAATGAGAGCCAAGAAGGTGGACTGCTGTGAGCTTGAAGTTGTAAGGAAAGATTCTCCCCGCCAGTGCTGGGGTTTGAACCTAGGGCTTCATGCACTACACGCTGTACTAACTGAATTTTAGGCAGCTGAACTAATTAATAGGGGCTGATGTGTAGCTCAGTGGTAAAGTGCTTGACTAGCATGAGTGGGGTCCTGGGTTTGATCCCCAGATGGCGAGAAAAAAGTGTACCTTCTCCAGGCATAAAAGCCCTAAACTGATAAGGTTATTTGACTATTTGGGGGAAAATAAAATTTAACCTTTAGGTATTTCCTTACAACCAATATAAAAGAGCTGGCTTTACAAGGGCCCACGAGGCACAGATCCTATGAAGCATTACTAAAGAGAAAAGAGCAGAACTTCAGTATGCCCAGAGTATGGATTTTGGGTGGTAGGCTGAGAAGTACAGGACTCCAGGACTCTGGTGAGGCAGGGAGCTGAGTTCCAGCCACTCATGCCCCAAATAGAAGCAGTGTGCTGGCAGCTGGCCATAGCTACAGCCCTGAAGATCCAGGGGGCCACAAAGGAGGAGAGCCAAGTCCTGGTCCTGGAGCCCTGGACTCATCTGGAACAAACAGCAGGGTGTCACTTTACAGCAAGGTAAAGAGGAAGGGAGTGGTTGTAGGTCCTGGGCTGCAGGTGGGGCAGGTCAGCAAGGAGAGGGCAGGGCACTGATTGACAGCTTGTCAGACCTGCTGTAGGGACAGTACTGCTGCAGCACAAGGCTTTGGCCTGGGGCAAACCCAGCTGAGGAACGCAGTGCCCTCAGTCTGATGCTACAGCAATGATTCCCACTGACATCCTACAGGCGCCTGTCCCCCACTCAGGGCAACAGCCAGCAGCCCATAGTTAATTCCTGAAAGGGAGAACCGTTATTTGGCTGGTAAGTGGGGAGTGAGAATTAATTAGGTAGACAGCCTGGAGTACAGGGCAGATCCTGTGGGGTGTGGGAGCAGACTGCATGGGCAGGCCTCTCAGCAGGCAGCAACATAAAACTCTAAGCAGGAAGCAAGTCTACTGGGCACAGTGTCGGAAGTCAGGGAGAGAGATACCAAACAGTCAGACAGAGGTAAGGCACCCACCCATGGAAAAGTCATTTCCATAACTCTACATGCTATAGCAGGCAATAAATGGTGCAAAGCTCACACTCGTTGGGATGGCTACGACCCCCAGAAAATGACCAATGTTGTTGAGGATGTGGAAAGGACACCCTTGTGCATTGTTGATGAAATGGGAAAATGGCACATCTTCTGTGGAAAGGTCTGGCACTTCCTCCAAAAATTAGAAGAATTACCATCCATTTCAGCAATTCTGCTTCTAGGCATACACTCAAAAGGACTGAAATCAAGAGTTTCTCAGAGATATTTGTACACCCATGCACATGGCATTATTCACAACAGCTTTGTTCATCAACGCGTGAACGGATAAAAATATCCAACCTTAAAAGGGAAGGATATCTTGGCACATGCTGGCTGCCACATGGGTGAACTTGGGGATACTTCTAGCCAGGCACAAAAAGGACAAATATTGTGTGATTCTGCTCATGCTCACATGAACATGACTCCTACCTGGAGTCACCAGGTTCAGAGACCAAGGAGAACCACATAGAAGCAGGTGAGAGGGTGGGAAGTCACTGTTTCATGGGGACAGTTTTAGCCTAGAAGAAATGGTGGGGACGGCTGCACAACACCATGAGTGTGAACCAAACCGCACACTTAGAGGAGGTTTAGATGGCAAGATTTGTTGTATATTTTACCACAATTACAAAAAAAAAAAGTCTGAATCCACTGACCAAGGGGACCCTAGTTAAGACACAAGGCACTAATTTGAGGTGTCCTTGGGATTCTGCCAAAGACAGTCGTGGGCTGAGGCCCCAGACACCCCCTCAACTGCATACCAAAGTGGACCAAGGGCACCTGGCACAAGACCTGGGCTGAGGCCTCTGCAGGCGCCACAGGAAGGCAACTTGGAAACCTCAGGTTTAAAGACTGAAGAAACCAGTCCAGGAGCTCCAGTGAGCTAAAGTATTGGCCCTCCTAACACACAACGGCTAACCTTCCCACAGCCCTAGAGCAACTTAACAACCAAAGCGTGCTGCCCTCACCAAATTAGAAGATGGAAAGCCAGGACAGGAGATTTCGGTTTCGTTATTCCAACCAACGGTGAGAGGGGTAGGTGAACTCTCCCAAGGGCTTCCAGAATGATCTCTCACATGTTCAGAAAGCCCTCTCCTCAGCACAGTCCCACCCTTAGGGCACAGGTAATTTCCTGGGGGCTTGCTGAGAGGTGATGGGGTGAGCGTCCCCACTCCCAGTACCTCGGGCCTGACCTAGGCTTTGTGTGTGGGGGTGAGGGGGTGGGGAGTTGCTTGCAAGCTTGACTCATCCAAAAGGTTTCTAGGGGCTTGGAGACTCACCTGTAGAGTGTTAAAACAAGTGACGTTCAAGCTCCCTGACTTGGACACACAGGCATCCAGTGCCTGGCGCCAGGCCTTCACCTCCGCAGCACCTGCCATCTGTGCAGAGGTCCTATACCAAGTTCCCAAGAAAGCATGTGGGGGAAGGGCTGTGACTTTGCCATCCACGGGACAAACCCCTCAGGACAGCTCCTAGGCGGGGCTAGGGGAGAATTCAGTGTGTCCCGGAAAAGCTCCCAACTTGTAAAACGGGGCCATTGTCCTGCCCCGGTATGCATTGTCATGCTAGTGACGCGCCCCAGGGTACATCCTCGCCGCTGGCTCCACCCAGGCCCTTCCCCACCCCCACCTCTCCAGTCCAGGAAGAGCTCTGCAACTGCAGCTTTGAAAATGCTCCCAGGACAGCCTAAGTTCTCTGGAATGGTAGGGACCTTGCCCACAGCCCTGGCCGAAAGGCTGACACCAGCCTGGCCACCTAGCCAAGTAACCTTCCCCGGGCACAATTAGGGGACCTTCCCAGGAACTGCGCTCTTGGCTATTATTTCTGTTTCCAAGGATCCGAGGAGCCGACTCTGTGTCCGTACTGGGTTCGGGCCAGTGACTCCAGACTGGCCCAAGTCAAGGTAGGACTTTGGGAGGATCCACCCATGGCCTGGCCAAATGGGTTCTCGTCCCTGGGCAGGCTGGACGCGGGGCCAGTGTCGCGTCTCTTTACCCCACTCCCTCCTCGCTCTCAGACGCCGGCTTAGCCTCTCTTTCTAAGAGGATAGTCTTCCTCGCCCTGAGGACGCTGGCTTGTGGCAGAACCCTAACCTACATCAGGTGCCACACGTAGTGTCCCTTGGAGACCGTCCGCACGCCACAGGATAAAGGCCAGCACATTAAGAGCAAGCTTGGGAACCTCCCTAGCATCCCCAGGCCTTTTAACCTTGCCCTGACCTTGGCAGCTCCTACCCGCTGGGTGCCATTCTCACCTAGCCGCGGGACCTGCACATACTCACGGAATCAAGTCGAAAACAACTTTTTTATTAAACGAACCTAGGCTTGAGGTAGGGGTGAGGGCTGCGGAAGAGGGTCGAGGTACAACGGGGCTTCGCCCTGGCGGAAAGGCGGCTGGCCTCGGGCGGGCCCCATTAGCGCGGGTCCCCCAGGACGCCCCGCTCGGCAGCCGCACTGCCTAGAATGAAGCCCACGGCTAGGGACACGGTCTGGTCGAAGGAGCCCCGCAGCTGCTCCACGTGCTGGTTCAGTGTCATCAGTTGGTCGCGCAGGGGGCCCAGGACGGCCACTATGTCGCCCAGGTGCGTCAGGGTCTGCAGTAGCGCGGCGTTCAGCGACGGGACGGCGGCTTGCGGTGGCGCGCGGTCTTCGAGGACGCCGGGCGGCGCATCGGGGTTCTCCGGGGTGGGGTGCAGGTCTGGCGGCGGCGGCGGTGGGGAGCCGGGGGCGCGGCGGGATTCAGTGGCGAGAGCGCAGAGAGCGGTTGGGGCGGGGGAGCCGGGGGCGCGGCAGGCGTCCGCAGACTTCGGCGTGGACCGGCTGAACCTGAGCGCGCCGGCGGGGTCGGCGTCAGGGTACCGGGCAGCCGGCTGGGGCGCCACACCTGCAGAGCGGAGCGGAGCGCGTGAGCCGTGGGGATCCCCTCTCCGGCGCCCCGCCTCTCCCCCCCACGACCCCAGCCTACCTGGCTCGTCTGGGGCCGGCGCGGGCGCGGGCGCGGGCGCAGACGCGACGGGGGCCAGTCGACGGCCGCGGTGGGGGCGCCCAGGTCCGGAGGGGCGGCGGCGCGCTCGTCTGCGCCCGTTGTCGCCCAGCAGCCCCATGAGCTCGCGGATCTGCTCATCGTAGGGCCCGGGCGGCTGACCCTCGGCGTCGCGGAGCTTGTCCTTGAGGAACTTGTAGCGGCGGCGGCACTGCGCGGGTGTGCGCCGCACTTGCTGGCGGGCCAGCGCGGCCGACACGCGGCGGTAGGTGGGCAGCGCTTGGCGGCGGTCCAGCAGCAGCGAGCGCCACACGGTCGGCTGCAGCAGCGTGCCCAGCAGCAGCTCCGTCTCCCGGGCGCTCCAAGGCGTGCGCTGCGCCGAGCCCGGGGACACGGGAGACCTGGGCGACCCGGGCTCCGCCAGCGCACCCGGCGTGGTGGGACCCCCGGGTGGGGACCCCAGGACGCCCCCGAGCGGGGACCCCGGGACGTCCTCGGCCGGCCGCAGCTCGGCGTCGGAGCTAGGCGGCGACGGGGGCGCGAGCGGGGGCGGCCGTCGGGGCCGGAGCAGCATCCCGGCGGGGCGCGCGGATCACCGGACCGCCGCCTTACACTACAGGCTGACGCCTCCCGAGCCGCCCACACGCGCTCTGAGGACCCTGCGCCGCCGTCCGCGTCGGAGCCGGGTCTACGCGACCCTCCCACCTCCGGGCCGCCCCGCCCCACTCCTCTCCGCCCCCTCCGGCCCGCCAAGTTCAACTTGGCCTGGCCTTGCGCCTTGGTTTTCTCTTTCTCTGGGCTCCTAGGCCTCGAGTGCGCAGCTATGCCCCTTTCTGACCGGGAAGAAGCTGCAAAACAACAGTGGTCTTATTTTAAAAACCACTTAATTGAGGTACAGTGTAATACGGCAACGTGGGCAGGCACGTAGGGGTCACCTTGTTTTACGCATGTGCCATGCCCTTTAATCACCGCCCATAAGGAGTTCTTCCCCAACTCAGAACGCTTGCGCCTTGCTGTCTGTCTTTAGCCCTCCCGTGTTGTTCCCAGGCATAGTGTCTGTGGCCCTCCTGCCCTTCCCACCCCTTCCAACCTGTCTGGTTGTGTGGATTTTGGCAAATGCTTATGAGGTATATCCAATAGTAATCCAGGCAGTGGTGGCGTTCTGTAAGCAGGCTGCTTGGCGCCTAGATGTGATGAGCTACCGTCTGCTGTTGGACTTGGTGTCACAACGCACACATGCTACCGGAAGGAACTTATTTGTGTCATAGTGTATCTATTAACATCTTAGGTGACAGACAGTATTGGACATCTTCCCCCTGAGATTAGGACTGAGAAGAATCATTTCGGTTCAACATTTTCTAGAATTCCTGGCCAGTGCAGTAAGACAAGAAAAAGAAATGAGATAAAGATTCAAAGGAAGACACAAGTCATTCTTTGCATACCAGGGAGAGGGGGCATGCTCCCCAAGTGGTGAAGAGGTGCCTGCTGTCATTTGTCATCAGAGACAAAGTGAGGCCACCGTGCCCCTGTCAGAGTGGCCCAAATCCGGAACAGGACAAGTGAGGGTGTGGAGGGACAGGGGTAGTGTAGGGTGCTGGGCAGACTACAGCAGCCATATTGCAGAGTCTGGTGGGTTCCTGCAGAACTGAAGTATCCACCCTGCCCAAAGGAGTCGAAAACTTATGTCCACCAAAAACCTGCACACAGATGTTTATAGCAGCTTTATTGGTAAATGCCAAAGCATGGGCAGAACCACCATGCCCTTTCCACAGGTGATGGGTGGGTGCTGCAGCACCTCATGGTCTGGACACTGCCTGGCTTTGAGTCACGCCACAAGGGGAGGAATCCTCATCGCATTTTGCCAAGTGAAAGAAGCCAGATCCAGAGGCTCCCTACCATATGACACCATTCATAAGACATCCTGTAAAAGACTTTAAAACTACAAGGGCAGGGAGATTGGCCATAAAGGAGTGTTTGTGCTGATGGAGGTGCTGTGGTGATTTAATTCAACTTATTTGTTTTCAGTGCTGGGGGCCAAACCCGGGTACTCAAGAAGAGCATCCTCTCTACCACTGAGCTGTCCCCCCACCCCCACTAATTTTAAAGATCCTGTGCAGATCCACAGCTTTTGCTTGTGGGTAGGAAGATTAGAGGACAAGTGGGTGGATGGTCACTTCCCTGAACAGCTCTTGGGAAACTGTGGTGTGCCTGAGGGCCTAGCCTAAACCAGGCCAGGACCTGGGTGTGCACAGCATGTGAAAGTCCAGATGGAAGGGTACGGGAGAGGCTGGAGGACCAGGCAAGGCAGTGTGGAGATGGAACAGGCAGGAGGGGCAGCCTAGGCTGGTGCATCGGTGAGAATCCTGCTCTCCGTAGCAATAAGACGGTTCGCTGGCAGTCGGTGCAGGCTAAGTGTCAGAGAGGGGAGCTGATCAGGTTTATGCTGCGCCCTGTTTCAGTAGTCTCCTCTGGTGGAATGAGACCCCAAAGTGGTGGCAAAGGCTGCTGCAGTTTCATCAGCTGGTGATCTGTGGTCACGGTCTTGAATGAGGACCAGGGACTACTTGCCTGTGTCCCTCCTTCCTGGGGCAGGTGAGAGTAGCCTCTTGCTTGGCTTTCCTGGGACAGTATTTCTGGGCTACAGCCTACTGTTTTCAGGGTTCTCAGGCCTTTCCCAAGTGTCACATTGCTGGTACCTAGGGCTGGTGGACATCTCTGTCCACTCAACTGAACACGACTGCCATGGGCTTGCTCCTAGCCTGGTGGTCTCAGGACCAACTAGTCACTTGCCTTTGTGTTGGCACCTTTCCCCAGGCATGGAATTCAGGGCCAGGCTATAGGTTCTGGCCTGGGAGAGGAGCTTAGGGCAGGGACCTGGAGGAAGGACTTGAGGGTCCATTGGCTGTCAGTTCTCCAAGAACTAAGTGTTTTAGACCCATTGTAACAAAGTGAGACACCTCCCTACTTTGCACCTCTCTAGTGGCTCAAGAGAGGAAGTCTCCAGGGACAGAGGACTAGGGTTGTAATGATACGTGGTAGGTGAGGTCCAAAACCACATACTCAGAGCAGCTACTGTCCACGTGATCATGAGTTTACAGTTCAGTGTTTTTGTTGGCATAAATGCCAGGCAGATAGCTGTATTGTTCTTATGGGAACTCCACTAAAAACATGTCAACTATTTCATAAAAAGTATCCACAGCTGGGCACAGTGCTGCATGTCTATAATCCTAGCTACCAGCGAGGCAGAGGAAGATTACTGTCTGAGGCTGGCCTCAGCACAAGAAACCTGACCCTATCTGAAAAATAACCTAAAGCAAAGAAAGCTGGAGGTGTGGCTTAGCAAGGCTAAGGCCCTGAGTTTAAACCCCAGTACCACACACACACACCACCCCACACAAAAGCACAGCTGACACTCCAAAACTCTTAGGAGCTAAGAGCCCATGGCCTTAAGCCCTTCCTTTGCTGTGTCCACCAATCCTGAACACTAACATCAGGATGCAGGCCTCCACAGGAGTGTCCCCACACCTCACTCTCTCTCTGAGACCGGGCCCAAGCCAGGGACCCTGGTCTGTTCTGCCCTCAGGCTGCTGGGTGGGAACTGGCTAGGTATTTAGGGCAGGACAGTCCCTGGAGTAGGGTGAGCTGCTTTCTGTAGTCATCCCTTCAGTTGTTTCCCTCAACAGTGGGGTCCATTTGCTTGTTCACAAGCCTGGGATATGTGGGGCGGGGCGGGGGGCGGGCTCTGATCTGGTGCTGTTCAGGGTGAGTGTGACTTGGAAGTTCGGTTCTCAGTTGTAGGCTAAGCACATCTGGGAGTGCCTGTGAAGCAGGGTTTGTCTGTCCGGGAAGGAGCGCCTTAGTCTCAGAGTGGGTGTCACTTTTGAGCCATGCAGCAGTGGCTTGGTAGAAATGACTTTATTTAGAAACCTGTGCCATGTGACATCAGGGTGCCATGCAAACAGTGCTGAAGCCAAAGCCCTCTCGCTTCCCATGAGACGAGATAAGTCGGCACCGCTGGGATGCCGGTGTGTGCTGGACGCCATCTGTGTTAAATACAAAATCTGAAAATGTAGGTATTTGTCAGCAGAACAAAATCCTTGTAGAAAAGCCCGAAACGGTGAGTTGCAGTGCACGGCCAGGGTGTCAAGCCCCACTCACATCACAGGTAAGTAGGCCCTGGGGTCTACAGCAAATCCATGTGGGAAAACACACCTTGGCATTACAAATCCAGAATTTTGTCACAAATCACAGCTTTCCTAGAAATACCACTAGCTGCTTCACTACAGAATTGCTAATTCTAAAATGCGGAACAGTCTTGGGTCTTGCTGCAGGTGGGGCCTGAGGTGGCACCAGGAGCCTATGTGTTCTGGCTGCCAGTGTGGGGTCTGACCAGGTGTTGTCCCTGACTCACCACACCTTTTCTGTTCTAGGCTTCCACCCAGAGGGTCCCCACCCACTGAGCCAGCGCTCAGCACCAGCTGTGAGGGACCGTGAATTTGGGAAAGGGTTGGTGAATTTGGGAAAGGTTGGTGAATTTGGGGAAGGGTTGGTGAATTTGGGGAAGGGTTGGTGAATTTGGGGAAGGGTTGGTGAATTTGGGGAAGGGTTGGTGCCATCGAGGCAGCAGGTGTCACGTCCTCTAATGAAGCGCTGGTGACGTGCAGAGCTAAGAGAACACAGTGGACAGGTGTGCATGCACGGCTGCTGAAGGTGGTAGGCAGCCCTGTGGGGCCTGGGCCCAAGGCATGAGGGATGCTCATAGGGTCCCTGCCTTGGAGCTGTTGTTAGGGAGTGGCACTCTTCCAGGTTTCAGTTCCTCTGTCCCATGTCCGTCACTGTGGCTGTTTTCTAAGCCGGAGAGTGGTGGGCCTCAGGGAGGAGTGGTAGCTGTGGGCAGGAGGCCTAAGCTGGGACAGAGGCTGCTTCTCCCATGTGCTGGGCACCTGAGGACTGGGACATGGGGAGGGAGTCTCTTTGGGAGGAAGACTGAGGGGTAGGTGGGTCGTCCTTCCTCTTTGGGCTCCAATGGAAGGTTACAGACCCCTTGGAGCCCATGGATGCAGAGGTCAGTTTTGGTCAGTTATTTTTGCTGAGTGGACAGAAAACTCCTCAGCTAGTAGCTAAATTTGGGATCTGTTGAGTCAGGTGTGGGTGGCTGTTGGGTTTTTGGGGGGAGGAAGTTGCTAAAGAATAGGTGGGAATCATTTGTCTAGGGGAGATACAGATACAATGAAACTCTGGGAGGATATTCACTCAATTCTATTTCCTTTTCCTTTCCTTGTCTTTTTTTTTTTGAGATAGGGTCTTGCCATATAGCCCAGGCTGGCCTCAAAGTCTTGATCCTCCTACCTCAGCCTCCTAAGTGCTAGGATTTATGGCTGTGAGCCATCATTCCTGGCTTGTTTAACTTTAGTTTTTAAATTCTAGCAGAAACACCAAACCCTTGTGCCCACCAGGCCCTGGGGCCAGGTCAGGATTGGAGCTGGCTCTGCCCTCTCTGTGGAGGCCCCTCCAAGCCTCCACCTCTGGATTTGGGGAGGTGGTGGAAACCGAGTTTCCCAGGGTGCCAGGTTCAGATCCCAAGCAGGTGACCCTGGTGGCTCCTTCTGTCCCAGCCACCTCCTGTAGGTCTGGTCCCCGTTTGACCCTCCACGCCCAGGCCTTGCCCTGGGCTACTGGAATGTGGCTTTCATCCTCCGGAGTTTGTCCTGGATCTTCCGGGAGTGCTTCTCACTCGGCATCTGGTGGAAGTTGGCCCTGTTGTCTGCTGCCAAGATGGAAATGTCGGCCCCACTGAAACGGGTGATCCTTTGCTTGAGGTGCGCCTGAAGTTTGGGGTCGGGGCTGAATGTGTAGGGGTTCTCCTGGAATGCGTGCACCTGGCTGGCCACCTTGGCAATGTTTCTTCAGCGGGGAAAAAAAAAGACACGTTAGCTTCCACAAGTCCTGGGAGCCGCACTCTGTGGCAGGTTCTCAGGAATGGTTCAAACCCAGTTTTTCCAAAGCGCAGCCACTGTAGGGTGGGCTTTCTGCATTCACAATCACACGTTGTGTCACCCAGCGTGTCATGACAGGGCCTGTCCACCCACCCATCCACTGTCCACTCCACAAGTGATTATTGAAAACTTGTGTCAGGCTGTGCTCCAGCTGAGATCCAACGTGAAAAAACCCAGTGCAGGTGGCTGGTGGCTCAGAATTTTAGGGAGGAACACTTGAGGCAAACCGGGTTCTCTGCCGGCTCTGTGCCCCAAAACAGCCTTCAGCATTTACATCCTGGGGCCCTGGCTTGTTCCCCTGGAGGACTGTTGTTACACAGAGACCAGGACACCGCTGGGGGCAACCAGGACACCCAGGACCCTAGAAGCCCTCACTTCTGTTAAGGGACCACGGACCCTGCAGACAGGTACTCCCACCAAGTGAAGAATTTGTCCAGTATTTATGATGCTGTTTTTGCACACTGAAGGACAGTCCCTTCCTGTCCCCTCCCCTCTTATCCCCCAGCTGAGAAAAGCAGACACCAGAGTTTTGCCCATGTCCTTTCCAGGTGGCACTGCCTGGGCTTTTAGCCTCCTCTTTGCTGACATGACTCTTTTTTCTTGCAGTAAGTGTGCACATCTACTGGTGCGCTTTACTTTTTAAGTTGGTGACTATTTATAAAAGGGTTTTGCACTGAGCAGATAAGAGCCATTTTGCACCAGATCCTCTGGGTCATGTCTGCCCACTGAGGCTATAGACTGACCAGATTGCACCTGACCACTTTGTGAATGATGGAGAGGAGGGGGGTGAATGGAAACTGGAGGGGGGGAGGTAGTAGGGGGGTGGGGAGGTGAGGCTGATCTTGGGTGCCTAGGGCACACCTGCAGGCTGTGGACAGTACCAGGCCCTCCAAGGAGAGGCCAGCCTGGCCAGTGGCTCCTAAGACAGCAATGAGAGCCATGCTCCTGTGAGGACTGGGGTGTGCAGAACCACTGTGTGTTTTACAACCAGCCCCTGGTCTGTGGCTCTCAGCAGTGTACAGGATTTCAGGGTCCCAGGTGTGCTGGGCAGATGAGCAGGGGGACCCAGGGAGGGGCTGAAGACTCTCACCATGGTCACATGTGGATGGCTCTGGGGAGAGGCAGAGATCAGGGATACCCAGGGCCAGAGACTGGCCACTTCTTACAGCACCAATGAGGTGGTGTTATGGGGAGTCTGGACCTAAACAGGAGGCTGCTGGAAAAGGCACAAACTGTTTTGGGACCACGGACACCAGAAGTGCAGGAAACACACTGAGTTTACAGAGGAGTGGTTAGAGGTCACCTGGGTGAAGGGAGTGCTGAGGCCATGGGGGAGTGGCGTGAAGGCTGAGTGAGGGCAGGTGCCCCCAGGCTTCTGAAGAGCAAGAGGGACCAGAGGATGCACGCACCTGAGCTTGCTCCACCTGTGGGCTCCGTTGGTCATGGTGAAGCCCCCTGTCTCTAGCTGCTGGATGTGCATGGCCAGAAGTCGGGCTGAGGGCAGGGTGGGCTGGGCTCGGAACCGCCGTCCTTCCATCAGACACAAACTGTCACTCTTCAGGAAGACCTGATGGTTCGGCCAGGTACGTGGGCGGGGAGAGACAGGAGTGGTAAGCCCAGGAAGCTCAGCCCACCCCATCCCTGTTGATGCCTGCACTCCAGGGGCACCAGTACTGCACAGTACTCAGAGCGCCCAGCTTAAAATGAACCTGGGGTCCTGGATGGTGGGGGAAAAGCACAGACTCCTCATGGTTGCTGGCATGGAATGCTGACAGCCACAGACGGCTTTATACTTTGTGCCGCTCAAATCACAAATTCCTTACTCTGCTGGCTCCAGAAAAGAGTCAGTAGACCTGCCCTTCCCAAAGAAGACACGTGCCAGCTGCTGCCTGCTCCCGCTCCGCGTCTGCGTGTGCAGGAAGCACACACCAGCCTCCCCACTGACAAACTGTGGTTGGGACAAGAGGCTGGTCTCAAGCTTGCGTGTGTGATTGCTTTAGGGTGTCTGCTACATGGCAGCAAGGCTCTTGCCACTTCACTTCAGCCATATTTCCTCTTTATTCCCTCATGAGGTCACCTCTGTGCTACTGGAGTAGATAGACCTCCTGATCAGCAGGTTCCGGCTGAAGACCTTGGGTCCCAGCCTGTGGGCCTGTAACCTGTGCTGGGAAGTCAGACCAGCCAGGTGGGTGACCTGGCAGACAGGCTCCTTTCCCAGGTGGCTAAGTTACAACATGTGTTTGGGGTGACATGACGCAGGCCTGCCTCATAAGCTTCTCGTACTGTGGGGAGCATGTTGTTGAGGGAAGCCCACAAAGTGCTCACGCGTACCTCCACGGCTTTCAGCTCCTCCATGACCTCTGCGATCTTTGCAGGCAGGACTCTCCAGGCCTGAGATGGAAGCACAGGTGAGACCTCTGTGGCCACATGTGCCAGACTACCTCCCCCGCCCTTGGCCCCAGGTGACGCACAGGGGACTGCCTCACAGCTAGGTGCTCCAGCCCTCCCAGGATCTGCATGGCCGTTGCAAAGTTCCTCTGCTCATAGCAAGATTTTGCGATCAGAAGAAATTTGGAGAGCAAGTTCACCTGCAACTGAAGTAAGAAGAATGACACAGCATCTTTAGAGATGAACAAGCAGGGCTGGGATGGATTCAGTGGCAGGGCACTTGCCTCGAATACATGAGGCCCTGGGTTTCATCCCCAGCACCAAACAAAAGAACATTTGAGAAGTTGTTAAAATAACCCAGCTTCAAGCCACAGAATAGCACAACCATGTCATCTGTGCCAAAATGAGGTGGTGGGTGGATGCGGGTTTCTGGGTGGTGGGCTGTAGGGGGTCTTGAGCTGGTGGGATGGGCGTTACTGGAAATAGCAAAATCCCCTCGGAAGAGCCCCAACAGGCTCCCGGGTGCACAAGATGGACGGGGCACCACTTAGGGATCAGTGTGTGCATGGGGAAGATGGGACTTCCGTTTTCCAGAGGCAAAGGGAACAAATGGGATGCTTCTTTCATCCACCTGTCGAGGTTTCTGTCTGGTGCAGGGTGTGGTCCCTCCAATTCTAGGGCTGGATTTGCCAGATTTGAGCAGGACACTCATGGGTTGCCTGTGGCTTACTCCTGTTCACAGCATCCAGGGGCTGTGCCCACACACCTACTTCTAAGACCTGGGAGATTCTGGAGAAGCCAGCTGATGTCTCATCTCCAAGCAGTTTTGTCTTTGTCACCATGCTGGGTGTCCTCTGGGTGGGGACAAGACTTCGGGCTCCACCTGGACACCCCAGCTGGGCTTGCCCAGGCGTGCTGTGGTCCTGCTGCAGACAGGTGTCACCCAGACGGTTCCTGGTGGTCATTCATCGCCAAGACTCTAGCTCTCCACTTGAGCCTCTGGAAGGATCGTGAAAGATTTTCACCTGCTCACTCTTTTAGGTTAATGCCTCAATTTTTTTCTTCATAGGCTTCAGTAGATGAAAAGGATATAATTTCCAGTACTTTCAGATAAAAATCTTCTATCACTTTTTGAATTTAAGGGTTTTGTTGTGATGGGTTTTAGGGTCTCATGAACAGTTTGGCCGGGCTGGCTTCGAACTGCAATCCTCCTGATCTCTGCCTCCCGAGTAACTAGGATTGCAGCTGTGAGCCTCTGCGTCATGTGGCTGATTTTAAGTTTTTAATTATAGAAAACACATAGAATAACATTTTGCTGCACAGTCCTGAGATACTAGGCACAAGCCCCACTGCTATGGGACAGATCTGTGGAACTTTCTATCTTGCAAAAACAGAAGCTCTGTTGAAACAAGCTCCCTCCTCTTCCAGCCTGGCAACTCCCGTTGTGCCGTCTGTCTTTAGGGATTTGAGCACCTTAGAGAATTTGTCTTTTTTTTTTTCGGGCCTCACACTTGCTGGGCAGGCAGTCATATCTCTTGAGCCACTCCACCGGCCTGTGTTTGTCCATTTGTGTCTGGCTTATTTCACTGGACACAGCGTGTCCTCAGGATTCATCCACATTGTAGCATATGTTAGAATTTCCTTCCTTTTCAAGGCTGAATACTTTTCTGTGCTTCCTGCTTTTGGCTAGTGTGCCCTGTCACTTTTAAATACTTCTAATGAAGTAAAAATCTCATTTTGCTTTTAGATGCACCATTTTTCATCCAGAAAAAGACAAATTTCCTTGAAGGTGAGAAATTTCACAGTGTTTTCCCTTGACCTTGTCTTTCCTCTTCACTTTCCCCCTCCCCCTGACATCATCTGAACGGAGTGGACTGTGTGTCACTGAGGCTTTTTGTTGACCCCACTGTGCTCTCTGACCACGTTCTGTGTTTTAACTAGGATCATAAGTTTACAGATGCAAGCCTCAGACTCCCCCGCTGTTCTGACACCGTAGTACGTAAAAACGTCAAAGGAACATATGCTTCAGAATGTGGTGAGCATGTTGGTTGAATGGCCACTGGCAGTTTTGGGGGAAACGCATCTCACGGTGAGGTTTCCTGTGCCATCCCTGAGCGATTCTGCTCCTGCTGTTTGTGGGGATGGAGGTGCAATGGCAGAAGCTCTTGCTGTGATGCTGTGTGTGCTTTTTGTCCTTGCAAGCCAGACAGCCCTGGGGGGTGAGCCTGTAGGTCTCCATATTGCTGACCCCATGGGCGCTTTGCACACACAACAAATGGGCCCTGATCTTCACCCTCCTACAGGGTGTTCTCAGGCTGGGAGGCACCTGTCTTGTGCCCAGGACGTCAGGGTCTGCCCAGTGACTCGTTGGTCTCTGTGTGGAGACTCTGACACGTTTTGATGTCACAGGTCCCCCGTTCCCTTGTTGGGCAGAGTGAGGATGGTGAATTTGTGTGACAAACCCTCAAAGCTGTAATCTTATTCCCACAATGGGAAAGAACCAGAACTCTGCATTCACCAGTGTGCACCAGTGTGCTGCCCAGGTGGCCTGGATGGGGTTGTCCCACAGCTTGTGTTAGAAGCTTGGCTCCCTGGTGGCTGTGTGAGAGATAGTGGACCTTCAGGAGGTGGGCCTAGTGGAACATCACAGGGTCATAGAGGGTGCTGCCCCGGGAGGCGGTAAGGCAGCTCTTGGGGGACCCAGGGTACTCCTGAGCGAAGGTTGTTGTAAGGTGCAAGCCTGGCCCCACCTGGCTCTCATGCCTCCTGTCTGGCCCTGTGATGTCTGGGTCTATGGCTCCGTTCCCACCATCACCGTCGCCGTCACCGTCACTGTCACCACCATTTGATGGACACGGCTGAAAAGGCCCTCCCCAGAACTCAGCAGGTGCAAGCAACACACCCTTGACCATGAGCTACATAAACCTCTTCACAAGCAGTCTGCCTTGGATATTTTGCCAGAGTAACAAAAAACTGACATGCGAGCCTCAGAATTGCTTTTAAGGACTCAGGGAGGAGGGCGGACATGAAGGAATACAGAAAAGGAAAACACTGTGGAGGTTTGCTTCCCAGTCTGATGGCGGGCTCGTGTGCGTGTGTGTGTGTGTGTGTGTGTGTGTGAGAGAGAGAGAGAGAGAGAACCACTGTAGAGCTCCTTGGTGTGCTCAGTCCACCCCAGTGGCCATGGTAATGGACACACATGCTGGGGAGCCCTGTTTCTTGAACCCAAGTTTGATTCAAAGGAACAGGGGCCCTGGCAGTGGTGGGTGTCCCCGGTGGTCAGCACCCTTCCTGCCACAGGGGAAAGGGCTGCATTGCATAGGGACAGCCCTTGTGTCCTGATGCTCAGTTCCTGCTTTTCAGTGTGGTGCCTTACATGGAAACAAACCCTTTTAATCCTGCCTCACAAAAATCAAACCACAGTGACCTAGGAGAGGAAGTGACTGCTGGATGAAGGGACAGACCCCCTGGGCTTAAGGGACTCTGTCCTGAGGAGCTGTAGACACCCTGACTCCTACTGGGTGGGAACCCAGAGGGAGGTGCTGGCCTGAGGTAGGTAATGGTCTCTCTTGGGCTGCCAGGACCTACCTGTAAGCAGGTGGTCAGGTCAGGCTGAGATGCCTTTAGTCTAGCCCAAGACCCACAGGACTTAAGAGAACCTGGTACCGGGCCCACAGCAGGTAGGGTGGACCTGGACCTTTGGCTAGGACACTAAGCCAAGTTTCATCATTCCACAGACTGGCTGAAGGCCTGTAGTGCGGGAAGAGGCAGTGACTGGCAGGTAAGGTGGGCAGGTCACTGCATCAAAAAATTCAAACAGGGCAGTTGATATTCGCAACCAAGCCATGGCACAGGCTTAGGCAAAGTTGTGACAGGTATTCTGGCTGAACTCTGTGTGTGTGTGTGTAACTGAGTGGGGAATGAGTACCTGTAAGTCACAGGATGTATGAAGCACTGTGTGGGGGACTCTGTCTGTCCGTGAGGGAGGGTGTGTATGAGAAGGAGTTTATCACTGGGGGACCGGGTGAAGGACTGAGAGGGGCTGTGTGTGAGAGGGGCTGTGTGTGAGGGTCTTGCGTGTGTGAGGACTCTATGTCGACACTGACATATGCAGTGTCCTGATGGAGGTGACACACGTCCTGGTTTGCAGGTGGCCCACAGCTCTGGAGCATCCCATAGAAGGAGGAGACAGCATCTGGCTTAGGATTGTGACCACCGTGTACTTGGGAGCTAGTGACATTAGTAACACGATAGCTTTCCTCTTTCCTTCTGCTGTGGGGTGAGAGTGGCTCCGAGGGACATGAACTATGGATCCTCTGCACTTGGAGGAGGGTTGGCCATGATCACAAGTGGCATGTTAGACCTGGAGGCATGTGGAACCCAGCCCCCATTCTGAGCTATGGAGGCTCCTACCTTGGAGGTGTGGCTGGTCACAATTTCAGCAGCCACCCAGGTGCTGACATCATCCGCGTTTCTTAACAGCTGTAGCAGGTACTTGTCCTGGACATAATTGGGCAGAAATAGGCTGCAGGTCTTGGTGGACAGGGACTCAGAAGAGCTGGCTCTGGAAGGGAAACACTGCGTGTGACCTGGGGATGGTGTGGAGGTGGTCATGGGGCCTGCAGAATGTGATGGGGTCAGGACCCCCTCCCACAGGATGAGACACCCGCACCGCCCTCAGCCAAGAGTATCCACATGGCCCTTAGGGGAAGCTCCCCAAGACCCTCCCCTGAGCCCCCAGTCAAGGACTTCTGGGGTCACCCTGGAGAATGGACACTCACTTGGGGATGGCTGCACTTTTGTCCATGACACCCAGGGCCCGTGAGTTTAGGAAGTGGACAGGGTGGCACTTTTGAAACAATTCCTGCCAGAGAGATGGAAGCAGACTGTCAGCCTACCATTCCCAAGGGCCTGGTGGCCAAGGCAGCGTCCCAGGGAGGGCTGGGTGTTTTGGGGGCCCTCTCTGCAATCACAGGTCAACCCACCCACTGTGCCATAGCTCAGCCAGCGGGGCTCCCTTTCTGACTCTCCAAAGCTTTGATGTTGGTCAGCTCTGGTGAGGGGAGCAGGTCACTCAGCTGCTGTCACCTGCCTCACGCCACTGGATCTTAGGATGGTATGTACCCTGGAAAGGGCTGCCTGGGCTCTGAGCTCAGGGCAGGAGCAGAGGAGAGAGTGGATGAAGTCCCGGGGCAGGGCAAGAGCACCAGGAACTGTGTTTGGCCCAGCTCCAGGTGGGGGATGCCCAGTGTACAGTGGGCCACGTGCCCTGCGCAGCTGGAGCTCAAGTCTACCCTGGCCTCCCTGCTTTAGGCGGCAGCTCTCTTAGACCTGTGCACCTGGCCACCAGGCCCCTCCTCTGACCATCTGTTTTTCCAGGAAGTGTCTGCCTTCTGGGGCCTATGAGCACCAAAGTGCCCTTGGGCCTCCCCATGGCACCTGCAGCTGTCCCAGGTGTGAGGTCCTTGGCCCCTACTGGTGTCCATGGCCCCACACACCTGCTGCAACAATGTCAGCTGAGTGAAGAGCTGGTGGGTGTTGTACTCAGTCAGGAAGTAGGGCCCCTTCTCGCTGGTTTTGGCATAGGGGCCGTAGAAGTCTTCAAAGAAGCAGGGCTTGGGCAAGGCTGATGCAATGGTGTACTGGCGCTCCTTGTGGTGTGGCAGTGCCAGCCCGTTGCTCCGGGGCAGCCGCCAGGAGAAGCTCTGCAGGCAAGCCAGGCCGCCCCTCCAAGTCAGGTGGGCCGGGATGGAGTGGGGCGTGCCGGGGTGAGGACTGACAGGTCCAGCCTAGGACACTCCAGAATGGCTGAGCTAGAGCCAGAGAGCAAATCCCTCCCACCCATGCTGTTGGCTTGAGGACACCTGTCCTGGTCATTTGGGCAGGCCCCCCATGGATACACTGGTCACTGTTTACACACATTTGTGGAAAGGTCACTCAGCTTCCCCAGTGGATTCTTCCACCATGATTTCTGGACCAATTCAAGAAACTGAAGTAAGACCCACCTCGTCTGAGCCCCACTGGCTCCTGGCTGTCTCTCGCCAGGACAGGAAGTGCCAGCCCACAGGGTGGTGACAAAGAGCATGTATGTGCACATGAGTGCATGTCTGTGTGCATGGGTGCACATGTACAGGTGTGTGTGCGTGTGTACACCATATCCGCCAGGCTGCACCTCCATCCAGGGAAGCCCTCTCCCAGGAAAGGCTCCCACCTTCCGGGAGATGCTGTCCTCTGAGAACCTCTTGCAGAGGACGTTAAAGCGTCTGGTGTCCTCTTCAGCCTCCTTGGGGTCCTCCAGGTCTGTGCCTCGAGAGGTGCTGTCAGCTCGCCGGTCAGTACCCACCTCCAGGAGGCTCAGCAGGTGCTCAGCAGACCCGTCCAGGGGCAGGATCTAGGCAGAGACATGGGGTGGGGGTCACTGCTGCCTCCTGACGTTGGGGTGCGCTTCTGTGGAGCCCGGAGCACTTGCTGAGCTGGCTTGTGCCGTACTCACCTTGGAGGAGATAAAGCCCTCCAGCCGTCCTAGCAGCCCTGCATTTCTTGTGAAGTCCACAGTGTGGCAGTCTTCTACCCAGGCCTGTAGGATGCAGAGGCTCCGCCTGTAGATCTTGGTGAAGGGAGAGGTGGGGTCCTGGTGGGCCCTGGAGGCAGATAGGACGCTTCAGTGTGGGCGTCAGCAGGATGAGGGGTGTGTGGGGAAGCCTGGGGTGATGACAGGTCGGAGTGCTCTCCTCATGTCCACCACTCTTCTGTCCTCACCCCTTGTCTAGTGGCCCTGGGTGCCTTGCAGAAGTGGTTGTGGCCAGTAGGCCCCTCTCACCCTGGGCTGTCCTTGTTTGGTTGGTGGGCTTAGCTTTCCCCTGTCTTCCTACCCTGTGGCAGCAAGGTAAGGCCTTGCTATCCCCCTCCCTACCACCCCCCAGAGCACATGGATGCCCGGCACCATCTGTTCCTGGGTTCCTTTATCTGCTCCCTTTGTGCTCCCTTTGGCTTGGTGTTCCTCAGGGAGGCTTCACCTGCGCCCTTGTCTCTGTCAGAGTCACCTGGGGCTATATTGTACCTCACAGAGTACCCTGAGCAAGGCACCCTAAGAGCCCATCCAACCTGTCCAGGAGCCCATGAGGACAGTACCTGGACAGGGTGCTGCTGATGCGGTCGAGGAGGAAGTGCAGAAAGTCATGTGGTGTGCAGAAGTACCGGAAGGTGTAGAGGAACTGCTGGACGTAGCCCTCCAGGAAAGCGTCGCTGGGGAGAAAATGTGGGATTCAGTTGTGGGCGTCAGGTCAGCCCGACCCCTCTCTGCACCCTTGTGCTGTGGGGAGCGGGAGTGTATCAGGTTGAGGGTGTGTGCTGCGTGTACGAGTGATTGAGAGTCTCTGTGTGTGATCTTTGTGTGAATGTGACATTTATGTGTGTGTGTGTGTGTGTGTGAACGTGTGTGAGGTCTCCGTGTGCATCAGTGCACGGAGTGTGTGAGCTGTGTGCATCAGTGTACAAGCACAGTGAGGAGGGGTGAGTTCTATGTGAGTGAACAGATGTTTGTTGGGAGAATCACAGACAGGAGAGCACTCCTCTCCCTCCCTCCCTCCCCGGGAAGTAAAGAGGGGAACTGGTCACGGTTGAGATTCCAGACATTTATGAGTGAGAGCCTTTCCTGGTGCATGATGAGGCCTGCCTGCTGCATCTCCTGTGTCACTGTCACACTCCTTTTCAGTACCCTCAGTTCTGCACCCTGTATGCCAAGGGCTGTGGGTCAGACAGCTGCTGTGCATGCATAGTCAGGCACACAGGTGGGATTGCTGCATGAACACAGGAACCCTGTGTGCCCACAGGGGCTCAGTCTCTGCTGAGTGCAGCACCTTGCAAGGCAAGGGAAAGCCCCTGTCAGAGGTGCTGACAGGAGCCAAACATGTGGGTCTGACAGTCTGGGAAATTTGATGTCCAGGGGCCAAAGGTGAGAGGTCTTGATAAGCCACCTCCAGTGCCGGGTGGAGGAGTTCCATGTCAGAGACATCATGTCCAAGAATGAGGGAGTTTGCTCACTGATCCACCTTCTGGGGCCTCTGGGAGATGAGGACATGGAGACCACAGCCCAGACCACTAAGCAGCCCCCAGACCAGCCTGCCCCGCAAATGTGGTGCCTACAGGGTCCTCACTGTGGAGGCAAAGCCCCTGACAGTGCTGTGCTTACACACACACAATACCCTTACACCCACCACACACCAGACATGACACACACACACCTCACCCACACAGTCACATCCCACACACACCATACTACACAGTACCCCACCGTGTCCCATGTGTGCACATCACATGCAAACCACACAATGCAATCACATACACGTGCAGCCCCACACACTATTATACATACTAGCCACACAATACACGCCACACAGTACTCCAGTATACCATACGTGTGTACACACCTGCCCATCACGCAGACCAGTGGCACACAGGCCATAGGCTGCACGTGTGCATGCGTGTGTGCACACACACATTCCCCAGCAAAGACCTCAGGATGTGCATGGTCTTGCTGCCTTGCAGGTAAGGAGGAGACTGAGTCCTGAGTCAGGGTTGGCCTAGAGTCCCCATCTGGCAAGAGATCCCAGCAGGACCCCCCTTGGGAGAAAAGGGTTGGTGGAGAGATGGAAGCTTCCCCAGGAGGTATGGGTCTCTGCAGAGGGACCTCATTCCATCATTGTCCTCCCTGGGCCCTGATGACACCCACAGATCAGATCTGGGGTCACCATGGCCTCCAGCTCAAAGAGGACCCTGGAGCCCCAAAATAGTGTCAGAATTGGGGAAGGTTCAGGCACCGGCTGGGAAGGCAGAGAGGGTCTCCCCAGCCTCAGACCTGAGTGTAGGGTAGGAGACCTGCTGGGAGCCCTCTGGTTCCTGGGAACGAAACAAGACTGAGGACTCGAGGGCCAAGAGGCCTGAGGGTGCTGTTGGGGAAAGGAGGGAACGTGAGATCCCAGCCTGGTGGGAGGCCCTGTGACCCTGCTCAGAGGAGAGTGGATTTGAGTGCTCTTCCCTGCTTGGGGTGTTTGACACCAGAACAGTGCTCAGACCCAGAGAGGCACAGGCTGCAGACATACTCCAAAGGACACTCTGAGCCCCGGAGCCCATGGAGTGCTTTGATTAGTGATTTGGATGGAATTCAGGCTGCACCTCGGATTCCCCTGTGGGTGTTTATGTTGGAAGCCTATTGCATGTTAATCTCACAGTCCATCCCTGCTGTCCTGTAGCGATGTGGGGCACAGCCTTCACCCAGCATCGGGGCTGCTAGTGATGACATTGTGGGTCCTGTGACTGAGGGTGATTTGGTAGCTGCAGAGCACGTGGCAACTAACACGAGTCAACCTCAAACTCTTAAAGAGCAGTACAACCCACCCTAGATGGGGCTTCTCCTGCCTCCTTCTGCTCTGGGGTCCCTGGACACACCTGGAATAGAGGTAGGCCATGAGTCCCAGCGGCGTGCCAGCCTGCAGGATGCGTGCCTTCTTCTGCCGGCCACCACATGGGGGCCTGTTGACATTGTAGAAGATGAGGGAAGAGGACTCGTCCAGGGGGCTGAAGTCCAGTGTGTCGCAGGGGGCCGCTGCGATGTTTACGATGACTGGCAGGGCGCAGGGCTCCAGGCCCCAGCGCTCAGCATACATGACCTGGGGTGGGGAGGTGTTGAGTGAGTCACTTGTGTGGGGATACCACTGACCCCAGGGATGGCGGGGCTACTTGGGACTGTCGGCCCCTCACACGGGGCCTGTGTTTATGACCTAACATGGCTCGATCCACAGCACTGATGGGAGGAACCCCATCTGAGCGCTACGCTCACTCTGGAGGGAGCAGGAGGGCAGGCCACTTGCCTGTAGGTACTTCTTGACCAGGCCAAGGAACTGCACTTTGGACTTCATTTCCTCCAGCTGCCCTCGAAGTTTGGACAACATGGTCCTCACCTCGGAGCCTGCAGGGAGAGCAGAGTCAGCACATGGCTTGGGGGCCACAGAGTACCTTCCCTCGTCCTGTGCTCAGGTGTTCATGTTACCTTTGTTCCGCTTTTCCTTCTGTAAGAGTTTCTGGTAGAATTTCAGGGTCTTCCTGTAGTTTCTTTTCTCTATCATGAGCTGCTGCTCCAGCTCCTAAGAGGAAGCACAGCATGTGAACTGGGGAGACCGTGGCCTCAGGCACAACTTGCCTTTTGTGCAAGATGCAGACACACAGAAAAAAGTAACAAGGGACAAGATAAGTGAGTGACACCCCAGCAGGAAGTGGGTTCCAGTGGCCCACTTTGAAATGGGCAGCAGGTGTAGTAATGTCCCAATGACTCCAGGCCTCACCACTGACCCTGGGTGAACTGCAGGGGTTGTGAAGCCTCCTCCCTGGACCTGGTGTATCCTTGAGACCTGGTCTTGAAGGCACATGTCTGTGCCTCCTAAGGTTGCCTTCCCTCCCTCCAGGCTGCCTTCCACCCCTTCTGGAGAGTTCTCTAGACTTCCACTCAAAACTAGGGCCAGGGCCATACCTCGTTGGGGCTTCCCTGCTCTTGGGAGTCAGCTGCAGGGCTGGGGTCCACTGAGGTCCACTCGGCAAGCTTAATATGTGTAGCCTGGGAGTCCACTCCATTGTTCCCATTGTGCCCAGGCAGTACTGGGCACAGACCAGGCTGCCTGCCTTCTACAGCCATAGGGGAGCCGACCTGGGCCCCTCACCTTGTTAGGCCATGTGTATAGGGGGCACTCAGGGATCCCAGTGCCTGGGATCAGCTATGTGGTGACCACATTACTACACCCCTCAGGAATGAACTATGGCCCAAGTTGGCACTCTATCCAAATGCACATGGCCACAGCAGCTCCAGAACCCCGCACAGCCAAGTGCCCTCAGGCCACTGTCTTTAAGTTAGACTTAAAGAAGCCCAGCCATACAGCTTCTGGCTAACGTGCAAATGAGCTCCCAAAGTCCTGCTTCCTGGAACCCAAGGGCTGGACTGCTGTGTTGCCAGGCAGCAGCCGTAGCAGGTTTTGCTCAGCCCTTCCAGGCCACGCCAGGTGTGTGTGCACACGTGTGATTCTCCTAAACCTGCCTGGAATCCCAGTTCCTGCCTAGAGATGGGCAGGAACATAAGCTGGCTGAGGGGTAATGAGTCCCTGCAGGATTTAGCCTGTGGCCATAAGGGAAGGAAGGGGAATCAGGACCAGGTGGGTCTGAGCAGGTCCTCCTGTTGGAGAATGTTTGCAGGTTCAGGAGGAGGTCCTCTGAGCCCCCCAGGATGCTTCCTGTGCCTGGCGGGATGGCCCATTTGGGCACGGTGTCCCTGTGTCATGTGGAGGCTGAGGTTGGGGTCTGTGAGCAGGAGGGTGGGCGAGAATCCAGATGGCCCCTCCCTTTGAGGGGAAAGGACATAACCTCCCTGACTGCACCTGGCGCTGTGGCTGAGCTGGATGGGCAGTGACCTAGTGGACATGGTCTGGAGCCTTGGCAGTCTGTGGGGGTCAGCCTGGGGCTGGGACTGAGCCAGGGCTGTTTCTGCAGGAGGATGGGGCTCCAGCAATGGGCTGGTCTGGGGCAAAAGGCGAGAGGAGGGACAGGCTGTGGCCAAGGACCGCTTGGACTCCTGCAAAAATCAGATGCACCCACTGGCCCTGAGATGGCCCCTGGGGCGGGAGTATTAATCTGAAAGTCAGCTGTGTCTGGTGCCCTCTGGTAATGGTGGCAGTTCAAGTCCAGACTCCATTGCCTGGTGCTTGACTGCTGGAGTAATGACTGAGCAAAAACGCAAAAAAAAACACTGGTGTCTTCTGTCTGGTGCTTCAGTGGCTTTTTGAACCGTTGCTACAGCGGCATCAGTAACCAATGGCCCCTGTGATGGTCAGTGCCGTCAAGCTCTGGGCAGCTGAGGAAGGGGTCAGCCAGAGCAGAGTCCAGCCCCTGTGTAGTCTCACTGTGAAGCTAGGTCCCCCAAGACCTCAGGGTCCTGTCCAGTTCAGCCAGGTCAGCATCTGAATCCACTCAGTGGTGCTCATGGAGTCTGGATCCACTCTGCAGGGTTCGGGAGTGTAGTCCACTCAGTTTGGCTCATGGCAGAGGGTCTGAATCCACAGAAAATCAGCTTAAACCATGCGCGTCTCCATTTGAGGCCGATGCTTCTGGAGGCCTGCCGGAGGCCACTTGAGCTGCCCAACTGCTACTTGACTCTGCTGTCCTGTTTGAGTACTGTGGAGCCTGGGCTCTGACATCAGACAGCCTGGCTTCAAACCAGGCTCCCTCCTGATGGCTGGTGGAGCCAGCTCCTCCTCGTGGGTAGGGCGCATAGGGGGCTGCTCCACAGGCTGCCTGTCTAGGGTCTGGTCCCTAAATGGAGCCACTGGCCATGAGAAGTGGTCTAGATTATTAACCTGAAGACGTCAGTTGCTCAGTTGCATGGGCCCCCATTCCACTCAAGTGCTCAGTAGCCACCTGTGGCTAGTGGCTCCCCTGTGGACAGGGTATGTCCTGTACATTCCGTCAGTGAGGGGTGTCAGTGAACCACGCAGGTGGAGTTCAGTGTATGCAGGTGCCTGCCTCATGGAGCTGTGTTCACAGGTTGTGTTCTGCTCCCTGCTGGTTGGACAAGGCTTGAGGGTCTCCAAAGCTGTCCACATGTGCTCCTCTGTGAACCTGGCTCCCAAGGACGAGGGCAGTGACTATGTGCTCCAGGGCTGCACTGTAGAGCTCATTCTGCCCCTGGGGGTTACCCTGTACCAGGCATTGTCCACCCATCATCCCTTGTCCACTGTGGAGACACTAATGTCAGCAAATTTCCCCAGAAGGGTCTTTGAGGGAAGCCCCTGGACATGGCTCACACAAAGGTGAGATGTCGGATTGCAACATCAGTCTTGACATTTGTGAGCAGCACTTCTCTGGATACTGAACAGCTGGTTCATTCGTCGAGGACTTCAGGCTTTGACTGATTTTAGATAAATCTACATGACCTAAAATCCACACAACACACTGCCAGGCCACACCCTGGTGGACTTCAGACAAGCATGGTCCACAGGCTGACCCAGTTGGCCAGATCTAAATCAAATAGTAAAGGCGGTGTGAGTTCAATTGCTTTCCCTACCGAACCTGACCGTGAACTTGCCACAAATGAAAAGAGCATTAGTTTCTTAGAGGAAAAAATTGTGAATGACTTGGGCACAATTTAGGCACAATGGCTACTAGATATATTTGGATGAATGGCTGATGAATACCAGGGTAGATACCAGCAGAAATTGTAGAAAAAGAGAAAAAAAAATGGATAAAACTAAAGCCACTGCCTTCCCCCAAACACTGAAGGCAAAGCCTAATTCAAAATCAGGAGAAGCAAAACCAAGTAGTACCCATGATGTCTGTAGCGTGGAGACACCTGCAGCATGCCATGACACACGGGGCCACGGCTGGAGCTTGGGTGCTCCTTGCCACCCATCCTCCCCAGCAACAGACCGAGTGCACACGCACCGTCTGTCACATGCTTTCCTGGGTTTGAAGCAGACTGGGTGAGTCGTCAAAGAGACCCAGCAACTGCAGTCGGTCTCAGGTAAACCACCTAGCAAGCAGATGAGGGCTCAGGAAACTCATCTAACTTCTTCCTGCAGTGAGCATAGGACCATCCCTCATCTCTGCCCCCCGCTTCCTCAAGCCAGCCACCCTCCTCCAACTGGACCACTGGGACGAGTCGTTCCCGAGGGGAGGGCAGTGCATCAGGGTGCGTGTCCACCAGTGCCTTCTAACTCAGGATGAGTTTTAGGGACCTGTCCCAACAGGACGATCACAGCTTTATGAGATCAGATCTGGCCCTGAGCCTAATCTACCTGAGTTAGTCTTAGACTTCTCAAGGTCATCTCTGGGGACAGAGCCCACAGTTCATTCTGGAACAGCATCATAGTAGACACTCATGTCCGTGGGTCCTTTTCAAGCTGTCAAAGACCCCGGTGCCCTTGTGATCCTCCACACGAGGACAGCCCAGCCTGGGGGCCATGCATTGCTCCATTACCCGGCCAGCCTTGTTTGGGGGCGCACCAGCGGTGGCCCTATCTCAGGGCCATGCGTGTCCTGGGGGTGCTGAGCCGCTCTGGCTTCTCATCCCTTGAGCTCAGTTTTCCAGGTTGGCGGCAGGATCACGACAAGTGGCTGTGCTGGCGCTTTGTGTTTACGGCGATTTGTTCTCTGCTGCTGGAAGGGCAGGGATATGTGTGAGCTGAGAATCCTGGGAAGATATCTTCCATGAGGGCGTCCAGTGAGCAACTGCATGTGAAGGACGGGGGTGTCAGCTAAGGACCCATAGAGCAGAAGAAACAGGGCCAGGGGTCTCTGTCTTCTTGGTCAGAGGCCCTGAAAACTCCAGTGACACAAAGTTCCCATCTGGTCTAGGAGGGGAGATGCCATGGGCCCTCTGCAATAGACATTGGGCATTAGTCAGCCAGTGGAGGTTGGTTGTGCAGGCTGCCCTTCCTTACCAGGTCCCCCGCACACGTGCAGGGCCAGGTCTTCCATGCGGCCCAGAGAAAACAAGCTCACTGGAGACGTGAACCCTGTCCCTATGCCCGCAGGTGCCCACCACTTCCTAGAAGGAGCAGTAAAGCGAAGTCCTGACAGCAGTGTGTAGCAAATGAAAGAAGGAGCCAATGGAAGGCTCAGATGATGCCTAAGACTGGGGAGACGCTGCCCCTATATAGCACAGGTGCAGGGCTCTGAGGTGACCAGTGACACCAGGGCGGGGGAGGTGCGAGGAGCTGATCTGCTGACCTGCTCCCTTCTGATGGAGACCCAAAGGGCCCTGGACCTGTGTGGCTGCAGTCCACTGAGGTTCCCCATGGGCATGGGCAGCAGCTGTGCAACTACATCTCTGTTTGGGCCGTCCTGCACACAGCACCGGCCAGGCCCATCTTCTGCTCAAGTCATGGCCTCTTTGCACTCTACTGACCAGGGAGGAGCCTGGGCCGCTCCTGACCTGATGGTGCTGCCAGAGAAGCCCATGTCAGGCCGCACCGACCCTGAGTTCAGCCCCAACTTGCCACGGGCAAGGCGCTTCTGGCCGTTTGCTTTTCTCTCACAGAGGTGCTGCCAGGGCACCACAGAGAGAAGGCTGTACCAGTGGAGACTGCAGGACCCATGACCTGACTCTCACTGCATTTACAAGGATCAGGTGATTCTCTGACAACTGTCACCTGGGGCCATGTGCCCAGCTACCACAGAGATGGCATGCCAATCAGCAGAGCACCTTCATAATAGGACGCGTGGAGACACCCTGAACGGGGAGCTCTTGGAGTCCTGCCATCTACCCTGTGTAGCCTGGACACTGTCTAAGCAAGGACCTGGCTGCCTACAGTGCTCCCAAGGTCACAGTGTCCCCCACCCACCCAGAGTGGGCAGAGGCCTTGAACTCACTGGGCTCTGGGCTTCAGGTTCTGGGTGCCCGCTGGCCTTCTGCATCCCCAGATCCTTCACGTAGTTGTAGATGTCGGCTCCAAAGCAGTCGGCCTCATAGAAGGCACTGGTCCAGCCAGGGCTGCAGCTCTGGAACTCAGTCGGGCCTGTGGACACAGCTGGGCCACCCTCCTCGGGCTTGGCCAGCTGGGCCACTGAATCAGCCGGTGAGGCCCCGCCAGCTGGCTCCAGGCCCAGGCCTTGCTGCCCATCCACTCCTGCCTCTGGCTGTTGCTCACGAGCAGCTTTTATTGACTTCTGAGGCCGAAATCCCACCTCAAAGTTTCCCTGCGATAGGGCATCAGAATCCCCGTCTGACAGCGTGGTGGGCGAGCAGGGGGCTCCACTGGCTCGGGCTGTGGCCGACTTCTCATTGCCTTGAAAGAAAGAGAAGAGAGTCAATGGGTAGCACTTCTGTCGTCTATGGGAGACGCCCAGCACCCTTGTGAAGGGACCCCGTCATGGCTGTTGTGCCAGGTGAAGCTGGCAGGAGACTCTGGGGCCACTGAACTGCTGATGAAGAGACAGTCACAGCCAGGAGTGAGGCCTCCCTGCACCAGGTGACCTCTGAGCACTGCACTGTGTCAGACTCCTGTGGGCCCTGGACCCTGTCCTCGCTCAGGCCCCCGTTAGCATCTGTTTCCTCTGGTCCTATCTGCTCTTGTGGAACATTTGCAGTCAGACCCTGAGCCCTGTCAACTCTGGAAGCTTCTGTCTGTGCTGGTGACATTCTGGCCCACTGGCCATCAGGGGGCAGCTCCTGCTTTGCTGAAATAGGGAACGAAGCCATCACCAAGGCCCTGTTACTGGGCAGTGGGTAGATGCAGGGCGATCAGTCACTCCTCCTTGTTCTTAAAGCCACCTGCTTGATCAGCCTACCTGGACTTAGACTAGTTTAGAGTTACAGTTTTCAGTTGGTCTAGGAACACCAGCTCAGGGTGTTTAAATGACCTATGCTTGCAGGGATGGTGCAAAGACCCCAGCACTGTGGCAGGTGGTGAAAGTGGACCCTGCATTGACAGCTCCCATCCCCAAAGCCAGGGCAGGGCAGTCATAAAGTTGGTTCTTTTTTTTTTTTTTTTTTTTTTCTGGAATTGCCAGCAACCACAGGAGGGGCCAGTGGACCCCACTGAGGACAATTTACAGCCGTCCCCGTGGTAGAGGCTGCATCTCTTACCTAGTCCATGCAGTGAGGGCCTTTTGCTGGACATTGAGCAGTTGCCAGGTGAGTGCTCGGGCAGAGGCTTCAGCTCCTCAGAAACACTGGCAAAAAGAAGACCGCTGGTCAGCCTCCTCTCACCTGGAGAAGGCAGAGGCTCCCAGTGCAGAGCCTCCTGTGATCACGCTGGGGCAGCAGGGAGAGGGAGCCAGGGAGGCTGTGAGCACAGAGCCTGTGGAGTCTGGGGGCCTGGTCTGCATGAGACCCAGGGAGGGGAAGGCCAGGCTAGGGCACCCACCTCTCGGGGGGTGAGGCTGGCCCGTTGACCACTTTGAAGAGGTTCTGAAGCAACTGCTCATTCCAGTATAGGTCACAGAACTTCTCCGATATGGCACCACAAAAGGTGGCAAAGGTGAGGTCTTTCAAGGCGTGAATATACTCCCCTGGTTTTGCAAACGATAGGGCAGGTTAGGATGCGGGCAAGGGCACATTTCTGGTTCCCTGACTCTTCATGAAGAAGAAGTGGTCTTGGGGCCGGTGGCAGGCATGGTGTGGGCTCGGAGACCCTCTCCCCCCTTGAGGCTCTTGGGTGCCCAGTCTGTGGGCTGCCCCTGCTGTCCTGGCCCTTGTGTAGAGACAGATGAGGGGGACCCAAGTCCCCTCCATACCGATGGTCCCATGGGCTGCATCTGCCTCCCCCAGCCTCTCCCTGGTCCTAGACTTCTCCCAGAGTGGCCACCATGGCCCCATACCCATGATCAGTGCCTCCAGCCCATTGTCCAGGTAGCCATCGAAGGCAAACTCCTCCTGAATAAGGCGCATGGCCTCCTGCAGTGAGGGGCAGGTTGCTGTCTTAGGGGGGGATGAAGTGGCCACACTGGGTGGACAGAGCTTGCGGTCTGCTGGCCGAGGCCTGTCAGGATGACCATCTGGGCCCCTGGGGCTATTTGCACTCACTGCAGCCAGGATGGGGCCCCGTGTGGCTGACTGAGGGCCTTCTGGTTCAGAGGCCTTGTTCCCGGGTGGCTTGCACGGGTGATGGGGGCTGTGGTTGGCTGAGGGGGTTACCATGGGTAGAGTGGCTCCAGGTGGGACCTGTCCATCTAGCCTGTGCTTGGGAGATGGCACTGGTGCCTTCTGGGGCAGGGTAGGAGGAGGGGAGCTGGGCATCCCTGATGTGGCACCCTTGGGTTGTGTGGGTGGGGTGGGGTCTTGTGGGCTAGAGCACCCCTTGGCCAAGCTGGAGTTCCCGACAGATTCTGGGGCTGTTCCCTGTGACCCTAGACCAGGAGCTGGCTGGTCAAGTATCTTCAGGCTGGTGGCCCCAGCAAGGTCCTGGGCCACTTGCTTCCCATCTTCCTCCCGGTCCAGCTGGCTGCTCCTCTCATTGGACTTCTTGACTGAGGACAAGACAAGCTGGTCCCTGGGGCGGGTGGGGGGTGGAGAGGAAGAGAGCTCAGGAGGGGCTACCTATGATTGGCAATGCTACCAGCTGGGGGAGGAGGACACTCACCTGACCACATCTGCATCCCGAGCGAGGATGACCGGTTTGAAGTGAGTGGCCTCAGAGGTGAAGGCTGCTGGCAGCTCACAAGCTCCTTCGTGACAGGAGGGTGGACCAGGCATGGGCCCTGGCACAGCAATGAGTTTAGTGTCACTGCTGACTGGCAGGAAGCCTGGGGACAGCCATTTGGGGGTGGGGTGGCGTGGGAAGAAAGGATGGTTGGGGAGCTGGCAGATTGCCCTAGAGTGATCCCTCACTTAAGGCCCTGCCAGCTTGCCAGGCCCTGAAACTGGGCACCATGCCCCCTCCCATGTCCCCGAGCTCCTCCATGCCATTTTGGGTCCAGGAGCCAGAAGGTGGGGGTGATGGTTCCTGGGAAGGGAAGGTGAGGAGACCAAGCCTTAGCCAGGAGGTGAAGGACTGCTAAGGACAAGTCTCTTCTTGCTAGGGGGCCTCCCTCAGAGGGACCTGGGCAAGACTGAGGGTGGGACACATGGCAAGAATAAGGACAGGGAGGGGTGGGTGGGGCTGGCCTGGCAGAAGACCTGCAGATGGCAGAGAATCTGGGGCTGAGGGCTGAGAGGGAGGATAGTCAGGTGGCTGATGCCCAGCTCTGTGCGTACTGTCGTGGCTTCTGGGTGACATGGGTACCATTGTCCACTCAGGGCTGGACTCATAGGGGGCAGCTGGGAGTGTGGGGTGCAGGAGCTGCTGGCAGGAAAGCTGGGACATTGGGCAGCCCACCTGTGGTGGGCTCAGGAGCAGGTGTCACTTGGGGCTTCAGCTCAATCTTGGAGAAAGCACTTTGGAGACCGATGGTCTCTTCCTCTGGGTGAACCTGGAGTGGGAGGTCACAAACGGCCGGTCAGGGGACAATAGGAACCCTGGAGGTATAGCACAGATGCCTGCTTTGCAGCCCCTGCCACAGTCCAAGGAGGTTTCAGGGAGGCAGAGGCCTGCCCCAGAGTAGGCTGTGGGAGCAGGAGCTCTGAGGCCTCCTTTATGAGTCTGTGGTGGGTTTCTAGAGATGGGAGGATGGTGGAGAACCCAACTCTCAAACCTGCTGGGGGCAGGTCCAGTGCCCCAAGGCTGGGGAAGTGCCACCCGCTCCAGGTCCATCCACCTGGTCATCATGCCCAGGGGGCCATGTAAAGACTGTGGGCCATCTGAGGGTCACTCTGCAGATGCTCAGGAGATGGGACCTGAGAGTGGACAGCCCTGCAGGGGCAAAGCACCTGTGCCCTGGGCAGGGGCTGTAGGAGAGGGTCTCTCAGGAGGGAGACTATTTACCACCTCTTCTCTAGGTTCTCCGTTAGACTCAAAGGAGGAGACAGCAGACCCTGCAGATATGCAAAGGAGACTCCCAAGCTTGGGGAGCACTGTCTTACCTTGCATGTGGATGCCTGTAGGTGGGCTAGAATCTTCCTGCTGTCCATGCCTCGCTGAAGGAGGTAGCTGCTGCACACCTGAAAGCAGGGAGATGTCCAGGCAGGATAGTAGGAGCCGCTCAGGTGTCAGCTCTGTGGCATCTGCTCCATTTCTCATGAAGTTATAGGAAACACGGGGATGTGTGTGGGGGAGCACGACAAGGACATGGGACAGGGGGACCCTGGGTAGTGTTGATGAGATTCTAGTCTGGACTTCTGGCCTGTCCCAGCTGAGAATAAAAACAAGGGCCACAGTGGTCCTTCCCTGCTGTGTGGTGCTCAGGACAGTGCTGAATGGTGTGCTGGAGGCAAAAGGCACTAAGCTGGGAGAGAGAGTGGTCAGGACCAGTCCCTGCACACACCCAAGACAACCCAAGCTTGCAGCCTACACAGGCCGACTCTGTAGACAACTACAGTCAGCAGCAGTTCCAAACTCACAGGTCATGGTGGGGGCCCCTCCCGGTCTGCCACACATCTGAGCAGCTCCACGGCAGTGCAGTTACCTTGATGGCCTCAGCTACAGATGGCCGCTCTGGGGCACGGCGCCTGGCCATGTCCAGGAGGAAGGTCTTGAGCCTGCGTGGCAGGGCCAGCTTGTGCTCACGGGGGACGCTGAACTTGGCTGCTGTCCAGAGGACAGCGGCCACACAGTACACCGAGGCCTGGGTGGAAGTAGAGAGGAGAGGAGTAGGCAGTGGGGCCAGCAGAACCAGGCCCCTAAAGAGACACCAAGGCACAGCCCTGTGATCTGGGGGCCCACCCAGCTAGACCTCCATTCCGGTTTTTTTTTTTGGCAGTACTGGGGTTTGAACTCGGGGCCTCATGCTTGCTAGGCAGGTGTTCTATTACTTGAGCCACTCCGCCAAGCCCTTTTTTTTTGTATTGGGCATTTTCGAGGTAGGGTCTCACGAACTATTTACCCCATTGGCTTCAAACTGCGATCCTCCTGATCTCTGCCTCCTGAGAAGCTAGGATTACAGGTGAGAGCCACCGGCTCCTCACTCTTCTAGGCTTTCACAAAGGAGCTGCTACAGACATCACACACATGTAAGTTGAGGTTCATTAACATTTCCTTCCTCACTTTGTTAAGTCTGACAGATCACTTAAAACAGTAGTCGACCCCTGATGTGCAGCATTTGCTGGTTTCCGTGGAGCAAATGCTCCCACACTGACTTCCAGCATCGAGCAGCCAGTGACCGGGCGACTGGGCGACTCCAGACACAGAGCACCAGGACGCCCTGGAGCAGAGAGCAGCCAACCATGCACGTGACGGGGACCGATCACTCACTGAACTACGCCTGTAGATTGACAGGCAATTGTAGGAAACAGACCCGTGTCCCACTGCAGCAGTGATTTCTTGTTCGGAACAAACCACTTTTAGGCAGTTTTAAATTCTATGAAGTTCAACTTAGCGATTTTTCTTTTTGTGGAAAGTTTGTGGGTAATGCTTTTGAGGGCATGTCTAGAAATTCTTTGCCTAGAAATTCAAATTCCTGAAGAATTTCTTTCATCAGCAATGTTGTGTACATGCTAGGTTTTGTGTGTGTGTGTGTGTGTGTGTGTGTGTGTGTGTGTGTGTGTGTGGGAACGAAACCCAGGGCTTCACCACGCTAGCTGAGAACTCTACTGTTGAGCTATTTCCCCAGACCCAGTATTTCATATTTTTGAATGATTATAAATGTATAAAAACCTTAATTTCTTTTTCTTTTTTGTGGTACTGAGGTTTGAACTCAGGGCCTACTTGAACTACTCCACCAGTCCTTTTCTTATGATGGATTTTTTTGAGATGGGGTCTCACAGAACTATTTTTCCCAGGGCTGGCTTCGAACCATGATCCACCCGATCTCTGCCTCCTGAGTGGGTAGGATTACAGGCATGAGCCACTGGTGCCTGGCCAAGTTTTAATTTCTGTGCCCATAATTACTGCTAAATATATAGGAATACAACAGATTTTTGAATCTTGCATCTGTGACCTTGCAAAATTCACATATAATGTATAGATGGTTTGTTTTCATCTTTGTAGATCCTTGGGATTTTCTACATAGACAATTATGTCATCCAGTCTCATTTCTTCTGTCCTTTTCTTTATGCTTTTTTAGTGCTAGGACTTCAGGTGCCATGTTGAGTAAGAGAGGTGAGAGTTCTGACCTGAGGGAGAAAGCAGCCAGTCTTCAACCACTGAGTATGATGTTGGCTCTAGGCTTATTTTTCATAGATGCTTTTTTTTAAAAATTGAGTTGAGAAAATTTCATCTATTTCCATTTTTCTGAGGTTTTTTTTTGTAAAGTCATGCATGTGTGTCAAATTTTGTCCAGTGCTTCTTTTGCATTAATCAGTTTGATGATGGAATTTTCCTTCTTTGATCAGTTTATGTGTTAGACTATACTGATTTTCAGATGTTGAGCCAGACTTGCACTCCTGGAGCAAACCCCACTTTGTCATGGTGTATAATTGCTTTTTATATATTGGCGAATCTATCTGTATATATTTTAGGGAGTTTTGCCCGCATATTCATGAGTGATACTGATTGTTCGGGGGCATTCTATGTCTATTTTGGGATCAGGCTGCTATTAGCTTCATAAAATGAACTGCAAAGTATTTTTCCTCTTCTGTTTTCCAGAAAAGATTGTACAGAACTGGAGTTGATTCTTTTTAAACACACATGGTATAATTTCCAGGTAAAACCATCTGGGCCCAGAGATATATTCTGGAGGGTTTCGAAATTATAAATTCAATTCTCTCACTAGCTATGGGCAAGTCAAATGACCTGCTTCTCTGGTCTATGTCACCCAAGCCACCAAATGTATGTGGGGGCTATTTGTGGCATCTTCTTGCTCTCCTGATGTCTGCAGGTTTACAGAGATGTCGCTCTGCTATTCTGGGGATTGGGGATTCATGTGTGCTGTTTTCTTTCATCAACTGCCATTTTGGTTTATCTATAGTACTTTTGAGTGCATCCCTCTGTACGTATGCTGTGCAGTTTTTCTGCTTTCTTTTTTTGACAGTACTGGGGTTTGAACTCAGGGCTTCACACTTGCGAGGCCGGTGCTCTACCACTTCAGCCACTGCGCCAGCCCTTTTTTGGGTTGGGTATTTTCGAGATAGGGTCTTGCAAATTATTTGCCTGGGCTGGCCTCGAACTGGGATCCTCCTGATCTCTGCCTCCTGAGTAGCTAGGATTACACACGTGAGCCACTGCACTCAGCTCTGTGCAGTTTTTCTAGTGGTTGTTCCAGGTACCTCTCACAAATACGTAAGGGCACACAGTCGACAGGTGTCAATATCTCACCAGTTTGCATATCGTCCCCTGCATCTTGCTGCCTTCTCCCACTTGTAACATGATTGATTTACATGTCATCTCTCCATAATTTATGACCACCTGAAGGTATTACAAATTTTACTTTGATCATCAAGCCTGAGTCCAGACACTCAAGAGAAGGCAGGCCTGATGTATTTACACATATCTTTGCTCAGCTTGTCTTTCCTTCCGGATATTCTGAGATTCCTTTTTTTTTTTTTTTTTGTCATTTCGTTTCTGCTTAAAGGACAAGCCATTCTTTTAGGGGAGACCTGCTGGTGACAAATTCTTGGTTTCCTTTCGTCAGAGAGTATCTTGACACTCCACTTCTCAGGTTGTGTTGCTGGAGACAGAACTCGGGGTGGATGGTCCTCCTGCTCTTCTTCAGTCTCAGCGACTCCCTGCCAGTTGAACCGTTCCCCCCTTATATGTGAGCACACCTTTCCCTCGCCCCGCCCCCTCCGGCGCCCTCGCCCCGCCCACCTCTAGCCCCGCCCCCGTGGCCTCTCCTTTTCCCCTGCAGGGTCACGGGTGAGGCGTGGAGAGCTGCGGCCCAGCGGAAAGCCCTCCCGGTTCTGAATGTAACTCGTTTAATTGCATTTAAACTTTATGAAGCTCATTACGCCCTGGTAACGCCCGTGGGCGGCCCCTCGTGGGCCTGGAGGGCCGCTGCGGCCCGTCCCGCGACCCCCGGCGGTGCACGCTGCCCACAGCGCCCCAGGCAGAGCCGCGGCTCGGGAAGTGGGCGCTGCTCTCGGGGAGCCATCACTCCCCGGTGGTGGACAGGAGGGGGACGCGGGGCTGGGGCCCGCGGCGGAGGGAAGACGCGGTTACCTTTTCTGTCACCAGCTTGTCCTCGGCCACCTCCGGAGCCAGGAAGAACGAGTTGTAGGAGCCTAGGAGAGAAACCGTCCGTGGTTTTCCCTGCAGCCCCGGCCATCGTGCTGGAGCCCGGCCCCAGGGACCCCGCGTACGCACCGTCGGCGGGCGGAGGCCCGAAGAGCACGGCCCCGTCCTCGGCCACCAGCACGTTGTCCAGGCACAGGCAGGCTGCAACAGAGCGATCGGGGCGCCCCAGTGTCATCCGGCCTCAGGCCCGGGAGGCTGGCCGAGAGTGGACAGCAGGGCAGGGAGCCGCCCTTCCACCCCGCCAGGCAGCGCATGGCTCTCATTAAGCTGGGGTGACAAAGGGGCAGGGCCCACGCTGGGCTGGGCTGGTTCAAGTCCTCCAGACCTAGGGCTGAGGGGCAGTTTAGCAGCAGCTTGTCCCGGAGGTAGATGGCGGCGTTTCTCTGATTCCACCCCGCTCCCCCTAACCCTTTTAGACACTGCCCTCATCGTTGCCCCGTGGCACTTTAAGACCACAGATGAATGTCAGTCTGTCTTGCTATCTAACAGGGTTGAGCTTGGGGAGGGGGGGATACCAGTGCAACATCTAAGAGTCCCTCCTGTGCCTCCCAAGTCAACGCTGACCTCCTTGGGGACAAGTGAAATCCCTGCTGAGAATGTGTGAGCTGGAGCCATTTTTTCCTCTATAGCAAGGGTCACTGGTTTTAGGTCCATGTTGCAGGCAGCTGACCCCACTGTCCCTGTCAGTATTAGACTAGAGGATGTGTTTCCAGCGTGCCTTGATCAGGTTGTTGGCCATCACCCTTGGGTAACTGGGTGGGGGGTGGGGATGCTGCACCCCCACCCCTTCTGCTGTCCCTGGGCCTCAGGCTCCATCCAGCAGGACAGGGTGACCCCTCACCTGGATGCTCTGTGTGCTTCTGCAGAGCGCTGAGGCAGGCAAGGCACAGGGCCCACAGCTCGTACTCCCTGAAGGGCCGCCCCAGTTTGGATAGGAGGTCCTGTAGGGACAGGCTCTGTGGGAGGGAGAGGACGGTCATGTGAGAACACCTCTGCTTGCTGGTGGCCAGGGAAAACCCTCCTCCTCCACCAGCATGCCTGATAAACAGAACAAGCATGGGCGAGGATGTGGAGAAGTGGGAGCCCTTCATGTACTGCTGGTAGAAACATTAAACAGTGCAGCTTTCGTGGAAAACAAAGGATGTGCCTTGAGAAATTAAACAATTACCTATAATCCAGCAATTCCGTTTCTGGGTCTGTACCCATAAGAATTGCAAGCAGGGACTCAAGAAGATACTTGTTCACCCATGTATCAAGGGTATCAAGGTATCATTGACAAGAACCAAGAGGGGGCAGCACCTCAAGCATCCATCGATGGATGAGGAGTGAACAATATGCTCCATCCACATGACAGAATAATAATCACTCTTAAAAAGGATGGGAATGCTTGCCACACTGTAACAACACAGATTAATTTGAGGACATTATGCTGAGTGAAATAAGGTAGATACAAAAGGGCAGAGACTGTGAGTTCACATATGAGGCACCTGGAGTTGTCATGTTTATAGAGACAGAAAGTGGAAGATGGGTGTCAGGGGCTGGAGAGAAAGAAGTCAGTGTTGATGGGGTCAGAGCTTCAGTCATGGAAGATGGAGAAGTTCTGGAGATGGGGGTGGTGGTTGAGCAACAGTGGGAATGCCCTTACAAGTGGTTAAAACAGAAAATTTTATGTTATGTGTGTTCTAACACATGACCACACTCAGCACACGTCCTGCAGTGAGGACTCACGGAGCCTGGGAGACAGTCCCTCTGCTTTGAGGTCATGTGAGAGCTGGGAGCAAAGCCCCTGCCCTAGGCCTCAGAAGTGCAGGCTTTTCTGCAAAGTTCCGGAGACCAGTGCCTTCCAGCCCAGTTCAAGGTCCCTGTGTGCATCAGAGGGGCTGAAACCAGGAGCAGTGTCAGCCCTGTGGCTCCTCCCTGCTCACTGGTTCTTCTGTGCTACACCTCGTGGTGCCTGTTTTCTGAAGTCAGAGCACTAAGCCTTGAACATGAAATGGGGGATCTCCAGCTCTGGGCCAGCCCTGACAACTTGGGCCCTGCCCTGTGTGGGAGGGCAAGGTCTGGTGTCTGAGCCAGTGTCCTGTGCCTCTGTCTGGGGCAGGGCAGCCTGGTGCTTGGGGCAAGAGCCAGGCTCATTGCTCAGCTCTGTTTTGTGCAGAGTTGGAGACCTCAACTGCCTCTTAGCCACACTCACTCTCTGACAAGCTTTCCAGCCACCCATGCCTCAGTTTGCCCATCTGGAAGGTGGTGTCATGAAGCAGCTGCCCTGGTGGGGAAAGCCTTGAGGTGGTGGCTGAACCACGTGTGCCTCAGGCCCAGATAGGGCAGACCTTCTGTGGCATGGGTCCTGAGTTGGACCTCTGTTAAGTGGCCACATCTTCCATGTGGGTTTCTCTAGCACTCCTCTGGATATGAATGGTGATATAAATTACCTGCCCCCGTCCTTTGGGTTAAAAAGCCTGGTAGGAAGGGGGGCTGCTGACATCACCCTTGTCCTCGGGTCCCAGCGCTGAGGAGCAAGCAGGACACAGAACTTCGAGTGAGTGGGGAGCAGGCTGTGGTCTGCATCTACCTTCAGTGTCCCCCAAGTGCCCATGTGTGGGAATTTCATCTCCATCGTGAGGTATTAAGAGGGTGGCACCCAATTTAGCCCTAGTATTTGGAATCTAATCTGGCCCTGGTATTTGGAGGTGGGGCGTTGGGAGGTCACTGGGAATAATAAGGTCATGGTGTGGAGCCCCCATGGTTGAATCTGGTGGCTTTATAAGAAGAGGAGACACTCCCAGACTTTTTTTTTTTTTTTTTTTTGGCAGCACTGGAGTTTGAACTCAGGGCCTCATGCTTGCTAGGCAGGCACTCTTACTGCTTGTACCACTCTGCCAGCCCTTTTTGTGTGATACTCTTGCAAAGTATTTACCCAGGGCTGGCTTTGAACCACGATCCTCCTGATCTCTGTCCCCTGAGTAGCTAGGATTACAGGCACGGGCCACCGGCATGCAGTTACTCCGTCACTCTTGACACAGTGCTCTGTGCCACCTCAGGATCTACCAGCAAGAAGACATCACCAGGTGCAGCTCTCAACCTCAAACCTCTAGGACTGTGAACTGAGCAAAACTCTTTTTCTTTACAAACTGGCCTGCCTCAGTATTTTGTTATAATAAGGGAAAATTACAAATATACTTGGTCAACTGCCACTCAGCTGGGCTGGGCCCAGGTGTCCCTTGCCTGACAGAAGGGCCAATGAGCACAGATCAATCAGTTGCCTGTTGCACCACTAAAAACCCAAACCTCTCAGATAGCTGGCTCCAAACAGAGAGAGTCCTTTGTCTCTCTAAGGGATAGCACTTGGCTGGGGGAAACCCATTCTGCCCCGGGTGACTCCATCCTATCTGTAGGATCCCATTTTACCCAGGAACCCTGTTCTATCCAGGGGAATACCATCCTGCTCAGGGAACCCCATCCCAGCAGCTGCACAAAATCCCAGCATCGATGAGGGTGCCACTGGGCTAGCCTGTCTGGCGTCCTTCACACACAAGGACTGACAGGTGAGGAATGTCAGTGCACGGTTTTGGTTTCTAAAATCAAGAGAGCAGGACCCAGAAGAGCAGGACAAGGAAGACCCAGGGATCAGAACCAGGGGAAACAAGGTTCCTGAAGTAATCCCCACCAGGGGAAGAAAATTAAGGCCCAGGGGTCTGTGTGCCTGGGTAGGGGCTGAGGGAGATGCTACTTTCTGGGGTGTCCAGAAGTGAATGCCTCCTTCCAGAGAGGCTGCAGGGGGGAGCTCTGACCTGGGGGCCACTCCTGGGGAGACAGCCAGTCCCATAAGCTGTATTCATACTTTATGTCAAAAGTGGGGCTTGAAGAAAACTTTGTAATCAGTGAGCAAGAATGAAGGCTGAGGAGCCCCTGCATCAAGTGATCATCAAGGCTCTGGAGAAGCAGCATGGCCAAGCTACACCCCAACTTCCCCATCCCAGCCTGGGGAAGACCAGGACCACCCACCTGCTCTGCGGCTGTACTTCCCTGCAGGTCAGCAGCTTCTGGAATCCCCTTGTCACCCCAAGCAGTCTGGGCTTCATGGCTTGCATCTCCAGGGTCTGAGGTCTGGAGCGGGGGTCTGTTCTCCACAGGCCTCTTGCCAGAGGGTGAGGCCTCTGGCTGTTCTGAGGCCCCAGGCTCCCTGTCCAAGCTGTGGCTTTTGCCCAGCACCCCTTTCAGTTGGAGTCTGGGCTCCTGCTCTGGCCACAGTCTGCTTTTGGGCTGTGCCTTGACATTAGAAAGGCCGTTTTTTCCCCTCCAGAAAGACCTTCCTGGGATCCGGGGGGAAGAATTCAGATATGTTCAGCTGGTTTTTTGAGCTGGTCGGCGACAGGCAGAGAGTGTTGGCCTCGGAGCCCTCGGGCACCAGCCTGGGGAATGTCTGTGCCTTTCTCAGTCGGCTTCGCCTGAGGACATCTCTGTCTAGCTCACTGAGGGGGCACCTGGCGTCAAGGACAAGGCTGGCCAGCCCCTCCTGACCAGGGCTCTCTCCATTTTTCATTGGGGCTGAAAGCAGCGGCTTGGAGGGCAGGGGTCTGGAGCCCCAGCCTGCCTCCCGCCCTGGGTCTCCAGAGGCGGGGGATTGGGACAGGCCCTCTGGGACGGGCAGGGCCTCTGGATCAGCAGTGATGTCTCCAGATGGCCTCTTGGGCGCTACACTTCTTGGAGCAGGTCTTCCCCTCCAGGTGCTCTCACTGATATCTGGACATGAAGCAGGGCATGGTTACCATGGAGGGGTCTGGAATGGGGACCCTGGCAACCCCATGGCTACCTCTGATCCTGCCATACCCATCACCACCATCTCCCCTAGAACAAATCTCACAGAAACGGGCTCCTGTCCTGTGCTCCTCCCACCCCCTCAACGCAGGCCCCAGAGACCCCCTGCCTAGGGGGTCACACAACCTAGCCACTCAGTGGTTCTCAAGGGCGAAGGCTGCTGGGCCTCTCCTGTGTGAGGCAGAGCTTCCCGGGAGGTGAGTCTTTGCCCTATTACCTGGTCCCAAAGCTCCTCATTTTCTATTATGGTTATACAAGTGATTTCCCAAAGGGAGAAAATGAATCTGGCTGCAGCTGTGCGCACGCAGCCTTGCATGTATGCCGTGATGGCAGCTTCTCCAGATACTCAGTTCCTTTGGTGCTTCTGCTGTGCATTTCACACTGCGTCTCTCCCGGGGCAGCAGCTCTGCATTCTGAAGTTCAGCCCTCTGCCGTTGCTGGAGCTAAGCCGGTGGTTTCAGGGGCTGCAGCATTGCAAATGCTGAGTGCTCCATTGGCAGGGAGGACCCTCCTGCCTCTGTGAGGCTCTGGGGGGTAAAGAGCCTAGTATGCCCCTTTCCCAAGGCCTCAAAGCTCCCGAGACTACACCAGAGTCCCATGTGAGTCATGAGACCCCAGATGTGCAGCAGAAGCTTTACATAGGGAGCAGTGAGTAGCCTAATTGGGAGTGAGTGACAAACTGTGCATACATTCATGGGAAAACCCAGGGGGAGAATAAGATAGTAAGCAGCACTAGCCTGAGTCACTTCTGAGCTCAGTCTTTTTTTTTTCCCAGTACTGGGGTTTGAACTTAGGGCCTACACCTTGAGCCACTCTACCAGCTCTTTTTTGTGGTGTTTTTTTTTTTTTTGAGACAGGATCTCATGTATTATTTGCCTCTGGCTGGCTTCAAACCATGATCCTCCTGATATATGTCCTCTTGAGTAGCTAGGATTACAGGCATGAGCCACCAGTTCCCGGCTCTGAGCTCAGTCTTGACCCTCACCTCTCACTGCATGGTGTTTGCATGGCTGTCTGGGGTTGCTGAATGTGCGAGTGTAGAAATGCTGGTGCGCACAGTGTCTCCATGTGAGCGTATGTGGTATGCATGAATGCGTGGCTGTGTCCATGAATGTGCATGCTTGTGTGGGAGTGTGTAATATACGTAGGTATTTGTGAATTTGTGTATGTCAGTCACAGGGCAGACACGAGTGCAAACTTACGTATATGGGATACAAACATGCTGGATTTGAATATGTGTGTGTGTGACTGAGTGTGGTAGGTATTTATAGGGTAATTATGTTAGAATAAACATGACTGAGAGTGCATGTATCTGTGTATCGTGTGTACACTTCTGTGAGTGGGCGTGTGCACATGTGTATGTGTGTCTGTGCATGGTAGTATGTGCATTTATACACATTGCATGCCTCTGTGCTCAAATGTGTGAATGTGCATGTGTGTGCATGGGTGAGTATGCGTGCAGGTACATGCATGTTAGTGGGCACACGTGCTTACCCTGGAACGCTCCGAAGGACTCGATGGAGAGGACCCTCCTTCCGATGGCCGAGAGACTTTGGCACAGGCGGCACGAGGACATGGGCTGCGTCTTCTCCTCACATAGTGCTATGATGCTCTGCAGACACCAGTGTGCATCTCAGTGCATGCCAACTGAGGCGCACAGGCTCACCAGGGAGAGGGTCCACCTTCTGAGACCCTCCCACCTACACAGGGCTCTGGGGTGGTCCCAACAGTCCCCAGATCTGCCCCCCCGCCCCGTTCCCACATGCACCTTCTGGTGTAAAAAAGCAAGTCCCCCAGGACTTTCTCATTTACAGAAAATGAGATTGTTTTGCCCATAATAACGTAAGCCAAAGACTCATTACAAAAATGTATGACAAAAATTATGTCCTTATTCAAAAGGAATGTGACACCACCACGCTCTGGTGGAGGAACCCAGTGAGGCCTGGGTGTGTGTCATGTGTACATGTGCACATGGCACTACACACATGCAGGGTCAAGTGGAGTCTGGTTGGGAGCCTACCTCCAGGTCTGGCCTGTCCCTGGGGTCCTCTGCCTGCATCTGACCCAGCAGCACCTCCAGGTCTGGACTTAGCTTGGGCTCCAGCTCTGGCTCTGCTACATAGTCCAGGGCAGCCTTCAGTGTGGCCCCCAGGGAGTAGATGTGAGCCTGTGGTACCAAGGAGTGTCGGTGCCTCATCTGCATTTGGCCACCCTTCCCCAGGCCTTTGGACAGGCACACCTACAAGCGTGCCTCCCTCTCGCTCCCCCCATGGCAGGCCACTCCTTAGGGAGGAGGGAGCACCCACAGCAGCATCCAAGCTGCTGGTGTCTGGGCCTGGCAAGTCCACCTCCCCTCCAGGCTTCCCTCCGACTCTGGCCCTTGGGAGTGAGACCCATCCCTCCTCTCCTGTCTTTGGCATTCTTCACAAACTGGATTTCAGCAGGAGGAAGAGGGTTTTCTTTCCTTTCCTTATGTTTTTCTTTTTAAGATGGGTTTTCCTAACTGCACATGAAAACGGGCTCTTCCCATGGTCCACCTGGGACAGCAGCTGCGTCTACAGTCTCATCCTGAGTCCTGCAGGGGCTGACAGCAGCAGACGCCTCGGCGCCCTCCACACTCCAATAAAAAACCCAAAATTGTTGGGTTTATATTGTAACTGAAGTGGCTTTTATGTTAATTTGGGAAGGACCAGCTTTCTTACCTAATAAATTCACTATGTGTAGAGACAGGGTCTTTTTTTGTTTATTTTAAAAGACAGGTGTCCATATTTATGGGGCACAGTGCAAGGTTTCTATGTGTGTTCACTGTTTGGACTTATTTGCTCCTGGCTTGTTTTCCTGTGTTTGAAATCTTTCCTTCCATATTCACTCCTGGGATTCCTGTGGTTTTGTTGCTATTATAACTGGGACATTTAAGTTTAATTTCTAAGTGATAATTATGACACAAAGGAAACCACTAATTTCCAGGCTGTATCCTGTTTTCAGCTGGCCTCTGTGCTTTTTATTCTTTTAGGTTCCAGGTCCCAGGTGCATAGGCTCACAATTCCTATACCGATGCACTTTGCTCGGGGTCCAACCAAGCCTGCCGCACTGACCACCCAGAGTCTGTCCGTTCTCCTCGTGCCCCAGGACCCTGGGCTGGCCCACCCCTCACAGGCCCACACCGGAGCCCCCAGCTCTGGTCTTCCCCACACATTCTGTGAGGCTGTGGCCATGCAGTGGGGGATCATGGGATTGTTGCCCTCAAAATAACAGTGGCGGTGGTGAGCACAAGGTCTAAGATGGATGCAAGGCGCAGGTGCAGGGAGGAGTAGCAGCTCTGCACAGCACGACTCAGTGGAATCAGGATTTTCCACACTCACGGAGTCTGAGCATGCCACTCCACCTGCCTTGAGAGCTCCCTGGTCTCTGTGTTAAGTGACCCACTCATGCTTCAGTTCCCAGCCTGAACTCCACGTACTCCAGGGCCCAGTGATGGAAATAAGGGGCTTTGTTAAGTCTGCCATGGTCCCTGCCCATGGTCTCCCAACAAGGAGATCCCCTGTGTGGACCATGACTTACTTTCACACAGCAGGATCCCATCTGCTCTGTGGCCCTGACCCCACTGGGTGTACACCTGGGGATGGACAGTGCATGAAGGAGCAAACAAGGGACAGGCCTGAGCCTTTTTGCCTGGCCCCACTGGAGCCACATGTGCTCACGTAAAGAGGGCAAGAAAGAGCCTGTGAGGTCCAGAAGCTGGCCAATTTTAACTTTCAGAAGCTAAGCAGCCTGTGGGGTTTCATGGGCAAGAAATGGGGTGTGCACACTCGGTCCTGGGAAGGCTAATTTCAACGAGCTCAGGGTATTTCTGAACTCTCAGTAGTGGGCAGGGAGGATCCCCGGAGCGGGTGGCCGGATGGTGCCTGGAACACTGGGAGAGTCCAGGATGGACTCCTGGTGAGGGGAAGATTTGTTCCCTGCTAATCGGCTCTGAGGGGGGATCATGGAGCCAGAGAACCATATGGGCTATTCATTCCCACAGTCCTCTTCCACAAGAGTACGGACTGACTGGGGGCCAAGGGCTGCCTCTGACTACATGAGATAGCACAGAGGTAAAGGCAGTGGGGACGGAGAAACAGTCAGAAGTTGGTGCCAGTGAGTGGATACAGCCGGCAACTTCGCCCCAAAAGTGTGGCCCCAGGGACAGTCCAGAGACCCCAGATCCGGCTGGAGCGTCTTTTGTCCAATCGACTGACCCCGCAGAGCAGCAGACCCGCACCACTACACCTGAGTGGGACGGGACTGACCGGGACATGGAGGTACAGGTGGACCTTGAGTTCCTGGGTCTCCCTATGAAGCACTCACACTGCTCAGGGGTCCTGGCAACACACAGTGCACCCACAGGCATTTCACCCGGAGCCCCGAACTGAGGAAACTCAAAGACCTGGGGTCCCTCCTGTCGCAAGCCCGCCAGCCTCCTGCATCAACTCCTGGCTGTCCACACTGCATCCAGTCCGCCTGCCATGCACTGGCCTCCAGAAAAGACCCTCCCGGCGGGGCTCCGCTTCCCCACGGGGCTCCGTCTCCCCACGGGGCTCCGCCTCCCCTCTGGCTCCGCCTCCCTACGGGCTCCGCCTCCCCACGGGGCTCCGCCTCCTCCGGGCTCCACCTCCCCTCGGGCTCCGCCTTCCCACGGACTCCGCCCCCTCGGGGCTCCGCCTCCCCTCGGGGCTCGCGTCTCCTCCCAGGCCTCATCTTTCTCTGCAAACCGGAACGCAGCGCCCTCTAGAGGAAGAGCGGCACCCACCCACAAGCAGAGCCAGGGACCTTGATTGTTAGAGGGTAAGGGGCCAAAAACAAAAAAAAAGCTACAGAAGATCCAAATGGCCCAAATGACCCGCTTGAGCTACACAGTAAAGACATCCATGTTGGGGAATATGAATCTTTTCAAAAACTGCAGATAGCAGGTGCACAAGGACATCTTTCAAGCACAGTGTGACTGAGTCAGAGGTCAGAAAGGCAAGAGGAAGCCCCAGTGTGCTCAGAGGTAAGAAATGACTGCTGGGAATGAATGTCTGCCAGTTACCCTAGTCCTAGACTGTCCACATAGCGCTGGGAAGTCCAGTCCATCCATGGAAAGCACTCTGCTCTGCATCGTCTGGTCTGTCACCCTGGGGGGACAGCTCCATCTGAATACCACTTACAGAGATGCTCCGTTTGTGAAAATCCATCAGGCTGTGTGCTTGTAATATGTGCATTTTCTGGGTATACAGCTCAATAAAGAGTAAGTAAAGCCCAGTTCATTCATATGGCTGAAGAAGAAATCTCAGTGGAAATAAAATAAGACACTTAGACGCCCACATAATGCAGCAAAACTCACGTATTGAGGGAAACTCATAGTCCCAAGTTGCGACAAAGACATTAGAAAGGAAGAGAAGCTGAAAACAGATGAGCTGAGTCTCCACCTCAAGTTAGGAGAGGAATGCACACTAAACTCAAAACAAGCAAAAGGAGGGAGTGTAAGGACAAGAATCAATGGAACAGAACACATGACAAGCCAGGGGAGACCATGTGATGCAGAGAGGCACTAACGAAATAAAAAGCCAACCCTCGGCAGGACTGACAGGAGAAAGGAGACAGCGAAGATGAATGGTTCAGAGCGTGGACAGGGGTCCTGCAGATACCACGTCGATGCAAAGGGAACAGCTTTCAGCCAGCCATTTTGGTGCTTGGTTTTTATGTGCTGTACCTTACCAAAAAGCTGGCTCACTGAAAAACACAAGTTAATCTTGCAACTATTAAAAATTGGTGGTAATTAGAAATCTTTTTGCAAAGGAAACAGATGGCTTTATCAGCAAATCTTACTAGGCTTTCAAGGGACAGACTGTCCCATTCTTATAAGAACAGGGCAAAAAGAGAGGGGAGCTAAGACAAGACTGGAACAGTCCTGATGCCAGTGCCAGTCAAAAACACCAGCAGGGTGAAAACTGCACACGAAAGCCACGGGAAATCCTTAGCAAGCACACCTAAGTTAAATTCAGCAGTGCACAGGAAAGCGAAGACACTTGGCCAACACAGTAGTTCCTAAGTTGGAAAGTGTAATACCAGAAAATAAATACATAAACACGAAAATCTTCATGAAGGCAAAATTGTATGACCATTTCAAGGGGACAAAAGAAGCATTTCAGAAAGATGAAAGGTACCATGGATGACCAAGTCCAATGCCGTCCTGGGTGGGAAGGTGAAAGCACGTGGTTAGAATAGGGTAACCTGGTCCCCCAGACAGGATGGTCACTCCCACACTTCCATCATGAGACTCAATGCTGTTCCTTGCCGTGCTCACTGAGGTGCAGAGTGGAAACTGAGGCCTCACTGATGGGGGGAGGGAGGGAGTCACACTATCGGTTTACTGGTGATTCGATCAGTTGCAGAGAAAAACTGAAAGAGCCGTTAGTTATTAGAAATGATACAAGATGTCGCAAGATGGTTGAGCACAGAGATGTTAAAGTGAATTCATCTCTCCACCCTCGCAACGAGCCAACACAAAACTGCAGCTAGAAACATCACCATTCGCTTACAATGGAATCAGAGGGGTGGCTCAGTGGTAGAGCACTGTCTAGCATGAGCAAGGCCCTCGGTTCAATCCCCAGCATCTCCCCCCACCCACAAAAAAAGCAGTGTAGAATGGAATCAGAACCTAATGCATTCTTGAGGATAAGTCTAACAAAAGAGAGCTGAGACTCCTGAAGTAACAGCTTTAAACTGTTCCTAGGAGATGTTAAGAAAACCACAAAAGCAAGGCAGTATGGGCCTTGATAGAGAAGAAGGACATTTACTGTAGAGCTGTGAGTTCTCCCAGACTGATCCACAGGCATAGGCCATTCCAGTCAAAATGCCAAAGAGCTTTGACAGAACTTGATAAACAACTGAGAACTACATGGGATTCAGGACTGAGAACAGGCAGAGTGCTCTGTAGGCTCCCACCAGGGGCAGGACCTGCAGGAAGTGGGTAGTTTGGAGAACCTGGGTGGAGTGCAAGGATGGGATGGATGAGTGACTGCAGAGCAGAGGAAGAGGGAGACCCCAAAGCTGACCTCAGTCTTGGTGTGTGGAACAGGTGCATGCACTGCAGCGAGCCAACAAACAGAGCTGGGAAAATGGTCCTTGATGGGAAAAGATGAAGGTGGACCCAAACCTCACGACTGATGGGCCAATTAGCCTGGTTGTCACTTCACACACAGCATGTCGGAACGTCACCTTATACACTGTGGAAATGTACCATTTTGTTTAGCTTACTTTTGTAAAGCTAGGGAGAAATTAGCTTCAGATGACTTAAATATGAAGAACAAAACTTTGCAATTCTTGGTAGAAAATATCAGTGAACACCTGCAAGAGTGTTAGGCTGGAAAGTCTCTTAAGAATGCGGAACACAGCCAAGCAACAGTGGCTCACACCTGTAATCTTAGCTACTTAGGAGGCTGAGATCAGGAAGATCCTGATTCGAGGCCAGCCTGAGCAAACAGTTCATGAGACCCCCATCTCCAAAATAACCAGAGTAAAATGGACTGGAGGCGTGGCTCAAGTGGTAGAGCACCTGATGTGCAAGTGCAAAGTCCTGAGTTCAAACCTCAGTCCTGCAAAAAAATGCAGAACATGCTAACAGTGGAAGAAATAGTAATGGTGTGACTATTAAAACTGAGAATCAGACTCCGGGTGTCGTGGTGCAGGCTTGCAGCCCCCCTGCTTGGGAGGCTGTGGCAGAAGGATCACAAGACTGGATCCAGGAGTTTGAGGCCAACCTGGGCAACACAGAGAGACTGCCTCACACAAAACAAAACAGAACTGAGACTCTTTTCCGTGAGAGGACACCTGCGGGCAGCTTCCCGAGGCAGACAGGTCAGGGCCCTTCCTAACAGTGCTGACACACAATTTTGCCTGTTCCCCGTTACTCTCTCCTGGGTCAACAGTGGAGCTTCAGGGGCCATGTGATGTGGTATCATAGCAGGCTGAATGGAATTACAGTCATGACAGACATGTCCAAGGGCACTGCTCTCCAGCACCACACTGTCCCTTCAGCTGCCACTGAGGAAAAGGTGGGGGCCCCCAAGGCAGCCCCTGCTGCAGCCCAGTGTACCCAGAGGTCACCATAACCCCAAAGGTGCAGGTGAGGAAGGAGAGGCTTTGTGAATCACCCACTGTCAGTACTTACCTCAAAGGTGTTCCCAGTCAGGTCGAACTCCGGGGGGACAAAGGCGCCCTCAGGGTCATCTTGGGGAAGAAAAGAGGTGCTCTGATCTCACCCACAAAGCAAAGCATGGTGAACAGAGAAAACTGCTGACCAGAACTCAGACCCTGGGAGCCTCCTTGAAGGACCAAGGAATGACTTAGGTCTCTGTCCCCTCTGTCCCCTCCCCTCAGGCCTGGCATCCCTGAGGTCAGTTTTAGTACCTGAGGCAACAGTGCTGAAGAAAAGATACCCACTCCTAACCTTAAACATGGAAATGGGTTTCAAAGTGGAAAGAGAAAAGGATTTTGTCTGAATTCCTGAAGAAGGAGCATGGAAACTCCAGTGTGGAAGATCAGGTTCTCCCTGGAGCTGGCTGTGCAAGGGAGTGGCCAGGTGGCTCTCACCTTCAGGTCCCCTGCGTCCACTCCCTGCAAACCAGGAGGACCTGCCTAGGGAAGACAGGAGCCTTGGCCTCCCCTAAAGAGAAAGGCCTGGGTAGGAATCAACGTGGACAGGTCAGAGTGGACGGAGCCCCTCCCTTGTCATCTGAAGGCGTGTGTGGCAGCCCGGGCACTGTGAGGCCACCAGGCCACCCAAGCTCAATGTCCAACCCGCCTCTCGGGCTAAGGATCCCATCAGGAAACCCAGGCCTGTGTCCTCGGCTGCCTGTGCTCATGGTCACCATGATGCGTGCTGCCCCCCGCCACGCCGCCCTCTGGGCCTCACCACTGAGCTGCTCCATGAAGCAGACGTTCCACTGGTGTTGAAAGCCAGGGTGTCCGGTGTGATGCACAGGGTCTGGAAGATGGCGGCATGGGCAACGCTTTGCATGGACAGACTGCACTCCAGGCACACGGCCCAGGCCTCCTGCTCGCTGAGGCCTCTGTCCCGCAGGGATAAGATGTCAGCCAGTGACACGTTCTCCTGCCAAGACATGCCTTGGTGTGAGTCCATGGAGGGGCCACCCAGGCCGGGCCCTGTGCCCAACGCTGAGTTGTCTGATTCTCAGACAACTCCAGGCAGTGTTTCGCTTTGTGGTCAGGAAAAGGGTTTTAGGCCTGGTCTTTTCTAGGCAAAGAGTCAGAGCCACAGGGCATTTGGTGACAACACCAGGATGCTGCCTGGAGCAGGCATTGACCCATGCAGCTCAGGAGTGGGGCCTTCCTTCCGGAAGATGGATGGAGACCTAGCACTTGTGTCCCTGGTCACCTGCTCAGGGACATCCCCAACCCTGCAGGCTCACAGCTCAGTCAGCAGTGGAGGTTGTGAACACATAAGCCAGCTATGGTGACCTGTGGGGGTAGAGGCCAGGCCCGAAGAAAGTGCGCCTGTGCCCAGGAGGCCCCCAGCAGGGCTGATGTAGATTGATCCTATGACACAAGCACATGTGTGTGACACGCTGTGCTGCTGCCCAGATACTAACTGCATGCATTTCAGGAGGAGGACATGTCACGTGCTTCCTTCTGCACAGCCTGACTGCCCAGGTCTCCCCCAGGCTGGGTGCACCGCTCAGTTCCAAGTGGGCTCCATAGCTCTGCGAGAGATCAGCTGTGATCAGGATGATGGATGCCAACACCTACTCTCTACTCTCACACATGTACACGCTGGAACACCAATGCACAGGCATCATGTGATGGTTTGAATATGAAACATCCCCACAGGCTCATGTGTTGAGGACTTGGTCCCCAGCTGGTGGCACCATTCTGGGAGGTGCTGGAAAGTTTAGAGGTGGGTTTAGCTGGAGGAAGTAGGTCACTGGGGGTGCATTTGAAAGGTGTCTTGTCTCTGGCCCCTTCTTGTCACTCTGATTCCTGGCTGCTATGAGGAAGCAGCTCTGCTCTACCATGTCCTTTGGCTATCATGCGCTGCCTCACTGTAGCCAGAAATAAATCCTTCTTTCCTCCCTCCCTCCCTCCCTCCCTTGCTTCCTTCCTTCTCCTCCTCCTCTTCCTCCTGTCCTGGGGATTGAACTCAGGGCCTTGTGCTTGCTAGCAAGCACTCCACCACTTGAGCTACATCCTCAGCCCTTTTGCTTTTGGTTTTCCAGGTAGGCTCTTGCTCTACAGAAACACACAGGTGCTCCTTGAACCATGATCCCCCTACCTCTGCCTCCTGGGTAGCTGGGATTGCAGGCGTGTACCAATACTCCTGGCCCTCCTTCTTCCTTTTAAATTGTTTCTCTCAGGTATTTGTCATAGCAATGAAAAATCTAACATACGCACACACTTCCAGTATGCTGACACATTTTCACAACCACCCACACAGCACCAAGAGCAAACATTCTCGTATACAAGCACACGCCACACTTTCACTTGCACAACCAGGTACTCATATACCCACATCCTTACTCACAACCCTCTCACACACAGTTCTCATCAGTCACACTCGCACACACGCACCTCTCACACACAGAACACGCACACACTTGCACACATGCCTCCACTCACTCGCACTTAGTAGCACTCTTACACACCAGTGCACAGTGTGGCACTCAAGCACAGATGCAGCTGCTCACACACATACACAGACTCAGTTTCACACACATCAGATACCCTGGACTTCCAGGTCCTCTCCTGGCCTGCAGTTCTGAGCCGTGTTCTGCCTGCGTAGGGAGTGGGTGGGAGGTTCTTTGGGAGACAGGCTGGAGCTGGGGTGGAGCCAAGGAGGGGTGGGGAGGGTGAGTGGGGCAGAGCCCCCCTCAGCTTCTCCTCCATCTTTGACTGCAGTCCCTTCAAGGACATGGGCCACTCTTCATGTGCAGCCAGGTCCTTAAAAAGTGTCTGCCTGTGACAGGACCATCGGTGAGGGATAGAGGGTGGAAACCAACCAAACAGGCAGACAACTTGGGGAGCAAGATCCCATAAAGACTTGGGGGCCTGGGTCTGCCCTGCCCATGAGACCTGGTGTTTCCACTTACCCATTGCTCCCTCAGAGCCCAGGGAGGGGCTTGGTGAGGTCACTTCCCAGGCCTTCAGCTGTGGCGAACCTCGCTCTGTGTTCCTAGCTCCCTGACTGGTAAAAGGTCTTCCTAACTCCTCAGGACTCTGGGAGCTCAACGTCTCAGTGATGCCCAGGGGACCTGGCTAAGAGGCACCCCCCCACACACACCTCCCACACCTGCACACACATGCACAGTGCAATGCACACATATGTACATGTGCACGAGGCATACAGAGCACTCACTAAGTGAGGTAATAAACACACTGCAGATCCTATGGGTCTATGCCGTGTAGGAGACATCCCAGCCCACGAAGTGAGTTTAAGCCAGTCCTACCCCATAGCAGGGCCTGCCAACACCCTGCTGGCTGCTGCTTATACTGGCCAGCAGGTCAGCCTGCTCACAGCCGGTGACAGGATGTACCGCCAAGAGAAGGCAGCCTCGTCAGCATGCCGCACCACCCTGGCACTACCGCCTCTCAGACCCAATGGGAAGATGCCCCCAAGAGCTGGGAGCCCTGGCCAGTCCTCAGCACAGCCTCCAGTCCCTATCTGTGATGGGAGCATCAGAATGTAGGAAAGCAGACACCCTGGGTGTTCTCTGCGTGACTCGGGGCAAATGCCAGGGGCCCTGAGTCATTGCTTCCAGACGGCACCCTCTAGTGACAGGATCACTCCAGTCCTCCTACACCTGCTGTCCCCAGGTGGGATCCAGCTCTCACTGGGCTTCAGACTCTGCTGGTCTCCCTCGCTGAGCACTGAGGGACCCTGACCCTGAGCTCTGGGCCCTGGGGTCACTTGTCTCTGAGACCTACAGCCTCCCCTGGTATCTCCTCCCTGCTCTTGCCGAGGCCGGAGGAAGGACTGTCCTTTGCTTAAATCCATGCAGCTGGACTAGGGAAGGCTGGATTGTGGGACGAACCTTGGCTAAGAGGCCAGGGACAAGGATGAGAGACCGGGAGGGACACAGGCAGCACTCACCAGCCGCTCAGCCTCAGTCCATGACCCCCCCAAATTCCAGCAAGATACATCATGGCCTCCCCTGTGGACAGGAGCCCACCCTTCATGTCTTCTTCACTCACTGACACAAGAGGCTGTGGGGACCGTGCCACGTGGGTCCACTTCCAAGTGAAATAGGTGAGCCTGGCTGAGGGCTGCTGGGTGGGCTGCACAAGGCTGCATGGCCGAGGCAGACATTTCAGAGAAGAGATTGTGCTGTGAATGGTAAAAGCTGGCCTCAGCGGGAGCCAAGGGGCTCCACATGCCCAGCGGGCATCCTGACCCCTACGCTGTAACACCTCTGACTCCTGCCAGCATGGTCCTGACCTCAGTCAGCCTCTGTGGCCCCATTTGCCAGGTGTAGGCTCAGTGGAAGAGAGGGTCCTTTGCAACCTAGCCTGCCTCTCACCTGTCCCCAGCAGGGTACTGCTCAAGGGTTATGGAGTATGCCAAGGGTGGACACCACCCTAGCCACGCTCCCTTTCAGGGCAGGAAAGAGCCACTCTGCAGGAAGGGGAGTGGATGAGACATTAGGGACTCCAGGCAGGGAGCGCTTCAGTTCGCCCCAGTCCAGAGTGTGGACCCTTTATCTGGTCACTGTAGAGTGCCCTGTTTATGGGCTTCTGTGCATTGAAGAGTCCCCTTCTTCCCTACCCCAAGAAGACTTGGAGATGGGTTACACTGGTCTAGGAAGGTCATTGTGCATATTTCAAACACTCTTCTTATAGCCAATTAACTTTTCAGCCATGGAATATTCTAACAGAAACTGCCAAAAAACTGAAATTCCACTGCTGACACTATTTGCTGGCAATCCTTTGGCTCTCTGACTACCAAAGCCTAAGGGAAGTTGTGTTTTATCTGGCACTGTAGAGTGCCCTGTTTATGGGCTTCTGTGCAATGAAGAGTCCCCCTTCTTCCCTACCCCAAGAGACTTGGAGATGGTTACACTGGTCTAGGAGGTCATTGTGCATATTTCAAACACTCTTCTTATAGCCAATTAACTTTTCAGCCATGGAAATATTCTAACAGAAACTGCCAAAAACTATGAAAATCATGCTGACACTATTTGCTGGCAATCCTTGGCTCTCTGACTACACAAGACCTAAAGGGAAGTTGTGCAAGATGCTCTATAAGCTGTGCCTGTCCAGAGGTGCCCACGCCTATCAGGCTCATTGGGCTGTCCCCCCCTCCTCGAAGCCCTCTGTAGATCTTAGCCCAAATTTGGTTTGGTCGTCTGGACCCAAGAGGCACACTGGGGAAAAACTCCTTCTTCATAGGTCTCCATCCACCTTCAGTCCCCAAGCTCAGTCCGCACTGCCTCAGGAGGCTTTGTTGGGCTTGGGGAAGGTAAGAAGCTCTTTGGACAGGAAACACCCTACTGGTACCCAAATGTGCCATCTTTATCACTTTATCTCCAGCCTGCCCTGGTTTGCCTTTGACAAGCATTGCTGGTCCTCAACCACAGCTGCCTGGCCTGTGCTGCCTCTTTTACAGCTGTGGTCCTGCCCAGATCCAGTCTCACTGTTCAGCCTCTGATAACACATCCCTTGTCCACAGCAGCTACAATTCCATGCAAATCCAGGGATGGACATTTATTCCAGGAAGCCTGACTTGCTTGGTGTCTGGAAGAATGTCTCTACTGTGTACCCAGGGTCCTCTGCCTATACTGACCCAGGTGGTCAGGGACCTACAACCTCTAGGACCTAGCCAGGCCATGCTGGTCCCTTCACTACCAGCCAAATGTGTTCTCATTCACACGTGGTCTGCCCATGTGCCACGTCTGTCCAGAGTGATATTGCTGGGACACGGGTGCTGGTCTCTGCTTCACAGCAAATGCCAAGCTGTTTTCCAGCAGGCTGTTTCCACTCCCACGGCAGCAGGAAGTGCTGCTGAAGGCTATGGGCTTGCCCACACACCCTGCCCACACTGCCCCCTCTGTTCTGGCCAACTTGGCCTGGGTGGAAAGCCATGCACTAAGGGCCTGTTCTGCACTGTCCGGATTACAGTAAGGTCCAAGAGCCTCATGTGCCAATCCCCATTTGGATTTTTCTCTGGGTCATAACAGGTAGAGAGATATTCTAGGGGCTCCCAGGGCGGGTCCTGTTAGGGTTCGTTTCTTTCCTCCCTCCTTCCCTCCCGTCCACCCTTCCTGCCTTCCACCCTTCCTTCCTCTGTCCCTCCCGCCCACCTTCCCACCTTTCCTTCCCACCCACCCTTCCTTCCCTCCTACCCACCTTTCCTTCCTTCCATCTTTCCTTCCTTCCTTCCCACCTTTCTTTCCCATCCTTCCTTCCTTCCTTTCTTCTTTCCTTCCTTCCCATCCACCCACCCTTCCTTCCTTCTTTCCTTCCTTCCTTCCCACCTTTCTTTCCCATCCTTCCTTCCTTCCTTTCTTCTTTCCTTCCTTCCCACCTTTCCTTCCCACCCACCTACCCTTCCTTTCTTCCTTCCCACCCTTCCTTCCTTCCTTCCCTCCTACCCACCTTTCCTTCCTTCCATCTTTCCTTCCTTCCTTCCTTCCTTCCTTTCTTCTTTCCTTCCTTCCCACCCACCTACCCTTCCTTCCTTCCTTCCCACCCTTCCTTCTTTCCTTCCTTCCTACCTTTCCTTCCCACCCACCCTTCCTTCCTCCCTTCCCACCTTTCCTTCCCACCCTCCCTTCCCACCCTTCCTTCCTTCCCGTGCTTCCTTCCTTCCTTCCTTCCTTCTTTCCCTCCTTCCTTCCCTACTTCCCTCCTTCCTTCCCTCCTTCCCTTCCCTCCCTCCCTCCCTTCCTCCCTTCCACCCTTCCTCTCTCCCTCCCTCCCTCCCTTCGATAGTCTTGCTATGTAGCTCAGGCTGGCCTTGAGCTCATGACCTTCCTGCCTCAGCCTCCTGAATGCTAGAATTCTACCACCAGGCTTTAGAGATCCATTTTGACCTTACTGGAGTGAATTCTGTGTCCTATGTGGGTCTGTATCCACCTTGCTTGCTTGGGAGCTGCCATGGCCTGGGCCATGCTGACCTTCCCTGGGGGTCCTCCAGGGCTGCCCTGTGGGGTGATGCTGCAACCTCACTCTCACTTGCCTTGCCTTATGCTGGATGGCTTGAGGATGCAGCCCGTGACCCTGATGTATGTAGATTTAAAATCCTTCGACCCAAACTGAGCTGACTGTATGCAGGGAACATAAAATTACAACCCCAGGTGTGTACAGACACAGGACACTATTGGCCCCGTTGGGCCCTGGGGACCTCCTTCTGTTTACAAGAGCAAAGGCAGTGCCCCCTCCCCAGAAGAAGGACCCACTTGAATGGGGGTATTCAAGTTCACCTAGAGGCCTCAGCATGGTCATGGTTCAGAGACCCCCAACCCCTGTATTCAGGGTGGGAGCCGTCCTAAGCCAGAGGGACACTGGGCATGGTGGACAGACTGTACTCTGGGTGTGAGGCTTGGGGTCACACTGTGGACTGTGCTCTGTCCATGTGGCACCAGCTGCTGGCCTGGGGTGTGCAAGGAGGCCCTCGAAGCTTGGTGTCTGATACACAAAGGTGCCGTGTGCAGAGGTTCTCAGATCTGTTTCCAATGGTGATCAGGAGATGAAGCTTCTCACAGCACACTGAAGTGCATCCTGTCCTCTGGGAGTTTCTGAGGGCTGTGTGCCATGGGCACCCTTTCTCTTCCATCAAAGCCAGGGAACTATCCAAAGGTTTATTTATTCCTTGGTCTCTCCTCTCTGCAGCCTTCAATTGCACCAAATCCAGGCCAACTCAGGGTGGGGGCAGAGTCAACCCCTGCATTGCCTCAGAGGCCCCCAAGGGGCCAGGCAGCAGCACTGGACTCCTTGTCCCTCAGAGCCCTCTCCTTCAGGGAAGGGGGTGTGTGTAGCAGAGGGTCAGGCCCTGAAGACAACACCTCTGGGCCTCTGCTCCAGAAGGGTTCTGGCAGAGTTTCACTCACCAGTTGGCCAAGCCCACCCTAAAGGGCTCATAGAGGGTCTTCAGCACTGCAGTGTCCCCAACAGACTGCAGGATGCTGGATTCCTCCAAGGGACATAGGAGTTTGGCTTCGAAGCCTCTCCCCAAAGACCCCATATTCTTGGGAGAGGACAAGGTGTCCTTTGGAGCTGCTTCTTATACTTGTCACAGTCATCGACTACATGCACTTGATCCCAACCCAGAGCCAGTGGGTCCAAGTGGGGCCCAGCTTCTATGTCCATGAGGGGCTCTGTGGGCACCTGGCTAACTGTACCAGAAGACCCATGGGGTGGAGACACAGGCACAGCCACCTTTGAGGAGAGGCTCAAAGGCCTGAGAGAGCTCCAGGCTCAGCTCCAGAGCAAGAAGTGTCCTCAGCCCTGGGGACCTTTCCCATAGCTCTTGAAGCTGCTGGACTGGGGGAGGTAACAGCACCCTCACTACCCCTGGGGAACTGGACCACCACTGGGCTACCCAATAGTCAGGAACCCACCGACTCAGGGCGGAACTTCTGCAGTGACAGCCCTTGCTGCTGTCCCATGAGGCATTCCATGATGGGGGTGGGGGTGGGGACTGAAGACAGGGACCCCCTGCAGCTACCACCTACTCAAGCCTGAGCAGGGTCTATGGGACCGGAGGCTGCTCAGGTCTCCTGGGAAGGGCAGGTGGGGTCTCCATGGGCGGGGGCTCACCTCGTCCTCTGGCAGGGTGGGGAGCGGCTCGAAGTCGTAGAAGTCCAGGTCCTTGCCGTCCTCCTCGTAGAAGCCCGCGGTGGGGGCGTCCATGGCCTGCATCCTGCGCGCTCGGCCGGGGCCTGCGCGGCGGCCTGGGACTCCGGCCACGGTCCGCGTCCCCGTCACGGGTCTCCTCCTTGCCCGTCCCCTCCCTGGAGGATCCCCAACCCGGCTGGCCACCGCCTCTGCGCTCTCCCGGGCCGCACTGGGCACCACTGGCTACGCGCGCCTGGCCGCCATGGCAACGCGCCCGCCGCCTGCCGCAGTGTCGCCGAGCGGCGGCGCGGGGGACGCCTGGGGCGGGGCCAGGGGTGGCGCCCCGAGAGCCGTGGTCACTGGCGGGCCGGCGGGACGCCTGGGGGCTCCGCGGGCGTCCTCGGCAACGTCGGCCTCCGTGGTGCACCCGGCGGCCGGCCTGCGCTGCCGGCGACCGTTCGGGGCGGAGCCACTTTGGTTTGCGCCCACCTGGGCGCACGGAGGGGTGAGGGGCCGAGCCCACCCAGACAGCACAGGTGACTTCGCGAGGTTCCTGTTCTGACCCTTGCCCCTGGGCAGTCCCTGCAGGTGGCCCCTGCAGGGGAGGTTGAGGTCAGGGGTGGGCTGTGCCCCATACTGGGGCCTGTAGTGGGCAGAGAGCCAGGGACTTAACAAGGGGCCAGATTGCCCCTCTTAAGTGTGACAAAGGGCTGGCCTGGACTCCTTCCTCGGGAGAGTGGATGGTATTCTCACTAGTCTGCCTGGGTCCCCCCAGGCCTTAGAGAGTGGAACTGTGGGTTAGAGCACCCACCAGAGAGAGGACACTGCAGGATCAACCTTGGCTCCTCTGTCCCCAGAGCCTAGCCTGGCCAGGCACACAGTAGGTACTTAATATGTCATCCTTGATGGAAGGAGCAGGTCCCGCAAAGTTCAAGGGTGCAGTGTGAGCCCCCCAGTCCTGCCTGGCAGATGTAGGATTGCTCGGGACCATGGAGAAATTGGGGCCAGGGGTCCTAAGTTGGGAGGCTGAGGCAGGAGCACCTCTTGAGCCCAGGGGTCCAAGAGCGGTTTCGGCAACCCAGTGAGACTTTGTTTTAAAAAAATAAAACAAAAAAACCTAATTCTAGGGTCATTCAGGTCAACAAACAAAAAATTGTGTGCAGGCTCCCATCTATGAGTATTTAGGAGCTCAGAGCAGCAGCCGGGGTATGGGAGTGAGGGTGCAGGAGGTGGAGTTGGAGAGAAGACATCTCACAGGTGCGTGGGCAGCCGGCCGTCCCTGCTCACTCTCTGACACCACACAGGGTCTGTAGCAGCCCCAGCTGGTCCAAAAGGAGGGCATATGTGGCAGGCAGACTTTCCTCTAGCCCTAGGGCTTGAGCTGAGCCATGGCCTCAGCCCCTGCTGCAGGGCTAGGGAGCTGCCACCTTTCTATGTCCAGGCCTGGGTGTAGTTGTGCCAATGTTCACAGTCCCCAGCCTTCACTCCCTCCAGGGATCCAGGGCAGATGTGACCACAGGGGAAGTCTCCCAGCATGGCAATGGCAGAGGTAGGACTTGGACAGGTGGCCTCACAGTTGCCCCCGCATGCCGGGTTTGAGGAGAAGACTTGGACGTTGACTGGGAAGGGAGCAATCATGTTGACATGCTCCTGGGTGTAATGACACACCATCCGCTTCAGGACAAAACTGCATCCAACGTGGATGAAGTGCAAACACATAGGCTGTCAGTTGCAGCCGCCAAAAAACCACTCCTGCAAAGGCCCTCTGCACTGACGTTTCACCCCTGCTGGGCTTCCTGGCCCAGGGCTGCTTCTCCCTCCCCTCCCCTCTCTTGAGGCCCGAGGGGCCTGGACGCTTTCTCTTGAAATCTGTACCCAGGTAGTTGCCAGCCCACATCACATTTGAGACTGTTAGGATTTGTCTTCTCTTTCTGACCCCATCTCTGCACCAGATGAGGGAGGGCTTGCTCTGTCTTGAGACTTGCAGTTGACACTCAAGTTTGCTCATGGAGGCAGGTGGAACAGGGGCCTCAAAGTCTTGGCTCTCATTTTTCCAAAAATAATTTTGACAAGCTGTCAAACCACTTGTACATTTTGAAACCGATATTTAATTTTTTTTAAAAAAATTAAAAATGTAAATAATTGCAAAGAATGTAATTTCTGGTGTGATGTAAATATTGAAATTTGGAAATAAAGCTGTTAGTCATTCTTGTAAATGTATTCAAGAAGCTGAATACCAAAGTGGCTTTGATAGTCACTGTCGACAATTAAAAAAATCCAGGAATCCAGTGGCTGTTCACTAAGTCAGAAATCTCATCTTTCCTTAGGCTCCTTACAGACAGACTTCAACTTTTGTCCAGAACTTTTCCCCATTGTGAAGATTTTACTCCTGTAAGTTTCTGTTGACCGGTCATTATACTTTGTGAAAAAAATACATGTGTAAGTTTTAACAAATTGAATATTTAATAAAAAGAAATTCAACTTTTTTTTTTTTTTTGGTTCCTGGTGACCATCAGGCTAGTCTCACAGGATGGAAGTAAATGATGAAGTAAGTGACTATTTCTGAGCGGTGTGAGCAGACACAAGGAGGGTGGACACTAGCCAGCTTCTGTGTGCATCCTGCACCTGTGGCTGTGACTTGTCTTGGTCACTTTATCTCTGTGCATACTAAGTGGTCCCTGACCTGCTGGGATCTCCCAATAGGCGGTCCTGGGGACAGTTGGAGAGTAGGTGGACCCCCTACCCATTCCCAGGGCTGCAAGCTGCTCCCCACAGCCACCTTCCTGGAAAATTTGGCTAATTCCTTGCTGCATTGTCTGGGCACCAGCTCCCAGTGCCCAGGAAAGTCCTGTTGATCTGCTGGAAGCTGCCATGAAGCTTACCATCTCCTCCAACTTGCACCCACACAAATGTGCAACTGAGTCACAGACTGAGACTTGGGGTGTGAGGGCCCCCATGAGGTTTGTCTTCTCCACACCCCCACTGAGGCTGCAGGCTGGCCCATCCATCTCTCTTGTCATCCCTGGTGGAAGGCAATGTGTCTATTGTTGCTGAATTGCATTCAATTATATAGACACACTGCAATTTATTTCTCTTTGTACCGTTGATGGATTTGGGTGGTTTCTAGATTTGAGGCGGTATGAATAAAGACAGTAGGGACATCTTTTGCTGAAGTTTCTCATTGTATAAGACTTTGTTGGGTCTGTATTTGTGAGTGGAGTTTCTTGGGTCATCACTGCTCATGAGTTAAATTTCATAGTTTTCCCCACAGGAGTGTTCAATGGGCTGGTCACTACTTACTGGAAAGAGTCCTCTGCCTGCAGTTTTCTCATTTTGGTTTTTGTTGAATCAGGTGTGCAACTGTGTGTGTCTGTTTCTTCACCCTCGCTGTCCTTTTCCACCGGCCTTTTCATCTTTGCAATAGTACCACCCTGTCCTGACAAAGCACGTCTTCACCTCCTTCCTTTTCCTTTTCCTTCTTGGCCACTCTTAGACATTTATGTTTCCATACACATTTTAGAATCAGCTTGCTGTGTCCTTAGAAATCTAGAATTTGAGCCTGGCACCAGTCATGCCTATAATCCTAGCTACTCAAGAGGCAAAGATCAGGAGGACCACAGTTCAAAGCCAGCCTGGGCAAATAGTTCACCAGACCCTACCTTGAAACAACCCACTACAAAATAGGGCTAGCAGAGTGACTCAAACGGTAGAGCACCTGCCTAACAAGCATGAGGCCCTGAGTTCAAACCCCAATACCATCCAAAAAAAAAAAAAAAAAAGAAGAAATCTGGGATTTGATTGGGATTGCACCACGTCTGCGTGTACACAAATCTTCATTTCAGAGTCTTCTAACCCGTGAACAGCACATCTTTCCATGTATTCAGATTCTCTTTGTCTTCTTGATAATGTTCTGTAGGTCTCTGCAAAGGGATCTTGTGCACTTTTCATTGTATTTATCATGAATATTTGATATTTGTGGTGTTAGCATAAATTATATTTTTCTGAAAAAAATGAAGCGTTTGCCTACCATGTATAAGGAACTGGATTTGATCCCCAGCACCACACACACACACACTTTTTTTTTTAGTGCTGGCCTATTTCTATAGTACAGTAGGTTTCTGTATAATGGCCTTGTATCCAGCTTACTTTACGATTATTACTTCTTCTTTTCTGTTTTTTGGTGGTACTGAGGTTTGAACTCAGAGCCTCACACTTGCTAGGCAGGCACTACCACTTGAGCCACTCTGCCAGCCATTTTTGGTATGGCATATTTTTGAGATAGGGTCTCGCTAACTATTTGCCCAGGCTGGCCTTGAACTGTGATCCTCCTGATCTCTGCCTCCCAAGGAGCTAGGATTACAGGAGAGAGCCACTGGGGGCATCAGCTCACATTTATTACTTTTACTCTGTAGATTGCTTTGTATTTCCTACGTAAGGAAATCATGCTTAATCATATCACCTGACATAATGACAGTTTTACACCTTCTCTTCTAATCCTTGTTGGGGTTCTCTCTTCCTCTTTCTTTACTGCTTCTGCCAACACCCGCTGTGCAATAGTTGGATAGAAGTGGTGACAACAGTCTTCTTTGCTGAGTCCCCAAAGTGAGAGGGGGCAGCTTTCTGTGTCACCATTGAGTGTCACTTTGCTGTGGGGTCTGATAGATTAAGTTTCCTTCTACTGCTGATTTGCCAAGTATTCTTTTTAAAATCACAAAGAGATTCTGAACTTTGTGAAGTGTGTTTTCAGCATCTGTTAAGATATGATACTTTTTTTTTCTCCTTTGTTCTGTCGATGTGTTAGGTTACATTGACAAATATATAATGATAAACTAATTTTGTGTGTCTGGAACAAATCCACATGGTTAGGATGTATTGTCTTTCCCAATATTGCTGGGCTGGGCTGAGTAATATTTTGTAAAGATTTTTGCATCTGTTTTTACTGACTAGAATTATTTAATGCCCTTGTCTGCTTTAAGTATCAAGGTTATGTTTATTCACAGATAATTGGATGTGTTTCTTCTTTTTCTGTTCTCTGGAACAGATCTTATAAACCTCATATCATTTCCATTTTAAATGTTTGGAAG